CTCTGGCCAAAATGAAAAATGTAACTATTACTATGTTTGTGATAAACATGCCTAATTGCCTGCTACAGTTATGCCACAATAATACCATAAGTGAGATTTTCCAGTGAAAATACTAGAAACCCAACTTCTGATCTTGAAAGTAGGAAGAACTTTTGTTTGTTTGTTTCTTTGTATTTTCTGTTAGCTGGCAGTTGTAGAAGGAAAACAGATAACATTACTGCTCCATCTGTATTTATTATCCTCTACTGAAATGGTACATCAATGGATTTCTTTATTGCTGTGGGGGGAAATGCTCAGTAGTTCAAGCATTTGCATTGTGCATGCTGGGTACTGTAGTGAGGCACACTGATGGACAAAAACAGAAAAAGGATACAAAATCGTGAATTCTGTGAAACTGACGAGGCCAAGGGAAGCAACGCTGCACTCCAGAATATTTCATGACATGACAAGAATATGTTAAAAGCAAGGTTTAGCCCCCTTTACAATAACAGTGGGTGTGTTCAAGCTTACCTCAAGAAGTAACACAGCTGCTCTAAAGACAATAGCCCACACTGATCTAACATATATTGCATTATTTGCTCTGTTGGAAGCAGAGAAAGTAAAAAGTAGATGAGAGTAAAAAGTGGATGTGATTTTATTATATAGGGAGACAGTGGGAATTTAGGAAATAGGATCTGAGGGTTGCTCATTTATTATAAATGTTAGAAACATGTTAGCTGTATTTTTCTGTTTCTGTTGACAGAATTGAGGACAGTAATCTGCTCTTCATCCTCGCCCTTCGATTACGTAATGCACCGGACGCGATGACCATTTTTGGAAACGTCCGTCTTCCATCCTTTGTGACGTGGTTTCGGTTCTTGGACGGAGCCACGCCCCGCTGGAGTTGAGCAGTCTGGGAAACTCCAAAACGGGCAAGATTTGCGAACAATAAGCAATGAAATCTTAAATCCTTTAGCTGATCTAAGCGTAGTCTCAAACCTGCTTCTCGAACCGTCCCCGAGAACATATTACAGGCGTGCTTCCCTACATTCAGAGCACGAGACGCAAAACAGCACCGGTTCTCAACTTGTGGCGCTCCGTCGCTCTGAGGCGCTGACTAAACCTGCTTCTATTGTTTTGATAGCTATAGCTAACGATAGCTAGGCGTTTTTCTTCGACGCGGAGTTTTTTCCCTTTAAGTTTGTAAAAGTTTCAAACGAAGGGAACAAACAGAGCTTGTCGTTTCTCATCTCTTTTGTTTTCCTTTGTTCGGCAGTGGGAGGGAGGGTTCACTCCGCGGCGCTACTGCGAGCCGGAACTAGCGTTAGCCACCGTTCTGCGCCATTTCGGCGAAGTCAGCTCAAGCTGCGCCATCTCGACTGAAACTTTTTTAGGTCGTGTTTACGAGCCTTTTCAGCGTCTAAAACGACGACATTTGGGTTGTTAGTAAATATATTCGACGCAGTTTTCTCGTTTCGAGAAGAAAAACCCACCGAAGCGGCGACTTGAGCGGAAAAAAGCGTTTTTCTGCCTGTGGTAATACGTTAGCTCGCTGGCTAACTAGCGCAGCGCCTAAACTCGCTCGCTCTAATCAACTTGTTCTCACAGCGCAGCTGACTGTCTAGTTAGCTGTACACATTTCTGAACTTGCTGCCTATTTTGTTCACCTTCAATGTATCCTCCCTTACCGCCCTGCGGCGGCGTCGAAATTATGCTGGGAGAAGCACTGGGTCGTCGCATCGAATCAAGCCTGGACGACGTGGAGAACAACAAGCCGCCTTCGGGGGTGGTTATGACTTCCTCTGCCCGCTCCAACCTCAACGCGTCCCGGCGAGCTTTGCTTAAGAAAGGCGCTCGCCGGGTCCGCACGGCGACGAGCCTGCAGAGCAAACATGGCCAGAGCCAGGGTCAGCAGCAGCACTACCACCACCAGAGGCAACTCAGGAGCAATAACAACCAAGTGCGCCTGGCCGACATCAACAACAACAACAGCAGCAACGCCGCCTCCAGAACCGCAGCACCAGCCACCGAACTGCCAGCCAACCGAGCGGCGGGGAACGCGGGGACGCACTTAAAAACAGGAGCCAAAAAGGAGGTAAATATAACACCTTTCGTTTGCCATAGGTCTTTTATCTCATGTTTTTCATTCGTTGAGACACTCCTGCAGGGGGACGAGGTGGATGAAGGTCAACGAATTGTTTTGGACCTTTGAATAGTTTGATCACTTGGCAGTCGTGCTTTCAACACGCATTGTAGAGGAAAGTCTCCCTTTAGCATTTGCTCTGGAAAGAATATGAAGTTTAAAGCACTCATTTGTCAACGTGCTGATGGATGTGGGAGTATGATAGCTATAATAGCCCAAGAAAACAGGGTTCTAAAGCTGCTGCAGAGGAGGGAGAGGTACAATATCTGTAGATGTTCCCTTATTCTCTCGTCTGATGCAGTCTCCCTAGGGCAGGTTACATTTCTTGTTAAGGTGGAGTTAGTTTCCTTTATACATAGCAAGAAAAGTGAACATAGACAAGTGTGTTAATATGGAGCAACGTTATGATATTACAATGTTATAAGCTTTATAGCACCAAAAAGGTTGTTGCTGTTATTATGGTGTCAAGCTTGAAACAATAGAAGAACCAATTTTGGTGCTTTATAGGACCATTTTCAAAAAGGTTCCAGATAGAACCATGTACAGTGCATTCTCCATCAAAGTGAAAAATCATTTCACTGTGTGAAGACCTATTTAAGCATGAATATGGTTCTATATAGCTTCATTGCCTTTAAGCTATCTTTTTAAGTGTGTAGCTTTTGGTCAACCATCGTGTGGTAAATCGGATCCCGTCGAAACCGAAAGGCCCTGTGGAGAAACCCACGTCACTGGCCTCTAATGAGGATCTTGTTCACCACAGACAGAGCTGGTTTGCACAGAGTGCTCATCTAACAGCTGTTTACAATTCCATCCGCTCTGTTCGTGGCATGTCTGCCTGCAGTGTTGTTCTACTGAACCTGAGCCTGCAGGAGCAGAGCCAAACACGGAAGGAAGCGAGGGTGAAAATGCACGGCAGAGGGCGGTGCATAAAGGGCCTACGTGCAGTTTGAGCTGTTGTTCATGAATGCAAGACCAAGTGCTGTCCTTTGAATGTTTTTAAGTGGCAAAGCCAACTTTAGGGTAAAAGATGTTAGAAAATTTGACTACCCTGACTTATCGGCCATGTTTCTTTTGTCCTCAGCTGCTGAAATCGAAAACAGGAAAGGTGGAAAGAGGAAACCAGTCGAATGGGCAATCCATCCACAGCCCGAGCAAACATGAGCAGTCCACTTCAAACCTGAATGCACGCAGTCAGAAGAACAGGCTCAACAACACAACCGGCAGCATTACGCTGGCAAAGAAATGTGAGAGCAGCAATCAGCAGAGCCCTCCATTGTTTCTCATCGCCAGCCGCAGGGAAGGGAAGAGGCCTCTGAGCTCAGTAGAGGCTAGCAGAAATGCAAACGTGTACCCCGCTCAGCCTTCACCAGAGGAGAGCCTCAAAGATGGAGAGAAAACATACGCCGGAGCCAAGTTCAGCGAGCCACCATCGCCGAGCGTGCTGCCCAAACCCCCCAGCCACTGGGTGGGCGAGAACGGCCCTAAACATTCCGACAGCAGCAGAGAGCAGATGTCTGTGCATCTAAAGACCCTGCTGAAGGTCCAAGCCAAACCATGATTCGGCTTCTAAACTACTCGTCCAAATTTGAACTCTGAATTGTCACCCAAACACCTTAACAGCATCGGACAAATTGGCATCGGACAATCAGGCAAAAGACTGGAAACATAGCTTGTTGCAACAGGAAGTATTGAGTTTCGACCGTAATTCGGAAAATGTCTTGCGTTTGTGTTACGAAAGCGGCCTTGTGTTAAATGGGTTTTTTCTTTTAAACAAACTTGTGTAAATGTAAATACTGTAAGACATGTAATATATGTGTATATTTTTTTGATGTTAATTTTAACAGAAGAGTAAATCTAGTTTTGTTACTGAGGCTTATGAGTCACATGATGACGTTCATCATGGTATATCATGATCTGGTGGTATGCTCTTTTAAAGTGTACTGATAAGCTACAGGAGCCATTTTTGGGGCACATTGCATGTAAGAAGTTTGCTTACAATTTTGCACAAGACTGAAAAACCAACACGGGTCCCTTTAAGGTGTGAGAATCGACGAGAGTGTGGCGCTGTAAGGTTCTGTGAACCCATCCACACGTCTTGTGGCTGCTATGCCTGAATGCACTGCATAGAGAGCCTGCATTGTTTATGGAGTGGGACTGTCCAGGAAGGGGGCTCAGCAGACGATGGAGAGAAGGAGTGTAAGTCTAAAAGAAAGGACTTTGGTCGCGTATGAGGAGCACTGCCTACAACCGAAGCAAAATGGACAAATAACAAACAGCAATTCCAAAATCCTTGGTTTCTTATCCCAGTCCGCAAGCACTGATCTTTCTGATAATGGATAAGGACACTTTTTATTATTTTTTATTTTATTCCTTTTCCGTAGCATTCACAGCATTTGCCCTGGTTTATTGAATGTTGTACTTGTCGTACTGAGAATGATGTTTACTGCGAAAGAGAAGGCCTGATTGTTGTGAGGTGTTTACATGTGTATGGAGAAAGCCAGGCAGCTACCAGCATTCTTTTCTTTCTTTTCTTTTGACTAAACTTTACACAGCCTAAGACGTTGTTTTTGTATTGCCGAAACCCAACACATTTTGTTGCAACAATAATTGTTTTGAACCTTTTGTCTGCAGTCTGTTTTAAAGAAAACAAATTAACTTGCATTCCCATTTATCCAATTGGTAAGAGAAACGTTATGAACGTTTTTATTTAAAATTGTTGAAATAAAGAATTTGGCCATCCCTATTATATTTGCATGTTTTTTTTTTTTTGTTTTTTTTTCCCTACATGTCTTAGGGATTTAAAAAGACAGTGTTGTCTAGGTGCTGCCACGCTGACGTGCTATTGGAATGACAGCGTTTGCAGAGTACTGCACTTTAAACTGTTCTCATTAATTATCAATCCACTCCTAGCCCAGCTTACGCTCTTCACCTAAATGCTGTTTTGCAGCCGCGTCACAGACATAAAAAGGTTACACAACACCCAAGTGCTGCGATTGCTGTGGCATACTGTTGCGTAATATTCCACCCTGTGCCAGTTCACCTCTCCTCAACCGGCTGAGGGACTGCAGCCGCCTGGCAGTTGAAATCAAACTGTTCTCTTTATCTCCTGCAGGGATGTCGAGTTCTAATCCTTAAGACATGATTCAGTGCACAAAGGGCTTAATAATTAGCTGACGTGTCGAGTCGAGCGTGTCACGGCAGAGCTTGGGGTTTGACACTTGTGACCTATTTCTGTTCTGCACTGAGGGCGAATGGAAATAACCTGGAAGAACCAGCTGAATTAGTGCCGCCACCTGTTAAGAGACCGTTGGAGAAACGTATACAAAAATTTTAAATGTACACAGTGCACAAAAGTCATTTTTAAAAAGACAAAAACAAAAACTTGACAGCTGGTTAAAAAAAGATGGTTAAATAAGATGGTGTCATTATGGGCTAACAGCCAATCAACTGCTTGTGACTGTTCAGTGACCATGCAATAGTTGTTTACAACTCGCTGTACTTGGTCTAAATCTAAATCAGTGTCTTTTTTTTATATATATGCAGTAGATCAGCATTCTAGAAGTACTGATGACATCCATGATATCTTAAGAAAAACGTATTATGACGTGAAGTTATGATCACGATGGTAACTTATCCTGTTTCCCAGCTCTACGTGCTGTGCCTCATACTTCACTGATCACAATGCACAGCTTGTGGAAACAGTTCACGTTACGGACAGGGCCATCTGCTGAAGCACGCTGTAGAGTGCCAGCTTCTCCAAGGCTGACCAGGCATTTATCCACAAGAGACCTGACATACAGTAAACTCATCCATGTAAGCAGTAACTTAGGGCCTTTCAGGAGATTTATTGACCTATAAAGTTGAGCAACCAAGTGCGTTGATGACTGAACCTCTGTCTCAATGTAGACGTGATTCAGTGCATGCTTTCTTCATTCGCACCTGAGTGCAGTGGCTCTTGTGCATACAGGAATGTCTGGAAACCTGCGAGAACTGAAGCAGCAGGTCTGCAGTTCCATTGACCAGGCCAGGGACAAACTCCATCGATTAGGAACGGCCATATGGCACTGCCCGGAGCTGGCATACGAAGAAAGGCAGTCTCATGACATACTGGTGCGTTTTTTTGAAGAGGAGACCAGGTGGAACGTTGAGCCGCACTTCAAACTGGACACTGCGTTCCTTGCCTCCTGGGGGCCGGTGGGAGGCAGAGACAGCGACCCCATAGTAAACATTGGATTCTTGTGCGAATATGACGCTCTGCCCGGAATAGGACATGCATGTGGCCACAACTTGATAGCAGAAGCTGGAGCTGCAGCAGCAGTGGGCCTGAGGGCTGCAGTGGAGAGCGTTGCAGCCTGTCCTGTCCGCGTCAAGGTGCATCTTCATAGACCAAGAACGTTTCAGCCAAATTAGATCTAATTTACACCATTTTACCTTGTCACCAATGCTGGTGAGCAGCTGGCGTTGAGTTACAAGGGCATTCCAGCCTAAAACTAGAGTTTAATGTTATTTGTGGTCTTATGCAGTATTCTGCAGTATTTTTTTTTTTTATATTATATATATATAATAAAGTTAAACTGTTTTCATATTTTCATTTATCACTGTTTTCCCCCCTACAGTATACAGCATGCATTGCGCAAATACATCATACAGCCATTGTAGTGCATTGTACTGTAATGTCAACCAATTCTGACTGCGAACCTAGCCACTGACATACAGGCTAATAAACACAACCATACTGGCATTACTGCAACTCTTACTTCACTCATTAAAATTGTAAAAAGAAAACAGTGATTCAGTGTTTGTTTGGCACAAACTGGACAACAGAGACAAGTTTTTACCCTTTCAGCCAGAGAAAAGAAGCCAAACTGAGGTAAAGTACATAGCTATGGTAGCTACCATGCTAACCCTAGTTCTTGGCTTGTTGTCCTTGTTGAGTCTTTTCTGTCGTTTGAGTAATCCATTCTCTCCATCATAATGATAATTTGAAGACGGACGCTACAGTTATGGCTACATCAAGACATTCAGTTTCTTAGCAGTAACGTTAGCTATATGCCTTCCTTCTGCATTTGAGAAGACATTGAATCAAAAACAGCCCACCCCCAAAAATCATTCCCAAAGTAGGTGTATTTTTTTTTCTTAAGTTCTTCCCACTTTTTCTAGCTTTTCAACAGGAAAATCTCAGTTTGGAGAGTCCGGGGGCTACTGCGGAACCACCGTAGGATGAAAATAAGCATGCGGATGTAGCAATAGTTAAATTTTCTGATGTGCGACATACTTTGTCAGTGTTTTTAGAAAACAGTGTGTCATACAGTGTCAGAAACCACATACGCAAATCTATTTTGGATTACTTAACGTGGATTGAGATTAACATATGATGATATTGGCTTACAGTGTTCACAGTGCTATAACCTTCCAGTACTTGGCTACGTTAGCATCATAGTGCCAGTTAAAAGAAGCAATGTTCGGCCACCAAACATGTTGGCTGATAGCCTACAGTTGGTGTAAGGGAAAATTCTGTAGGTTTGATTTTTGGGCAAGGCATCACTTTGATGCAGTCATAGCAGTGCAATTTGAAACTTTTAGTAAAATGCACAAAGAGCTGTATACAGTAATGTCTTCTATGCATATTTGCATAGTGCGCAGTTCATAAGATAATACACTCCATAGTCTCTATAATGTGTACTAATGACTGATGATTGGCAGGTGACTGTGCTGGGAACTCCAGCAGAAGAGGAAGGTGGGGGGAAGATTGACCTGCTGCGGGAAGGAGCCTTTGAGGGTCTGGATGTCGTGTTAATGGCCCATCCCTCTCAGGAGGACGCGACCTACATCCCTGATGTGGCTGAACATGAGTAAAAAAATATTACAAACCCAATTCCAAAAAAGTTGGGACAGTATGTGAAATGCTAAAAAACAGAAAGAAAGCAGTGATTAGAAAATTCTGTGATACATACAACGCATTTCAAAAAAGTTGGGACAGGAACATGTTTACTACTGTGTTATATCACCTGCCCTTTAATAGCACTTAATAATCTGAGGACTGATAGCCCAAACCGATCCAGTATTGAAAGCTTAATATTGTGCAATACTTCTGTTATACTAGTTTTTAGCTGCACATCCAAACAGGGTCTTTGTCATCATATTTTAAAGCTTAATAATGCAACACATTTTCAGTGTGAGACAGTTCTGGACTGCAAGCAGGTCAGTTTAACTCCCGCACTCTATCATTACACAGCCATGCTGTTGTAACATGCAGAATATGGCCTGGTGTTTTGTTGTATAAATAAGCATGGACGTCCCTGAAAAAGACGGTGTCTAGAAGGTAGCATATGTGGCTCCAAAATGTGGTTGCCGTTAATGATGCCTTTACAGATGAAGGTCACAGGCATTGAGTTGTGGTTTTTGGCCTTGTCATTTACTCACATAGACTTTTCCTGGATTTTAGTTATATTATGCACTGCAGAGGGTGAAATACCTTAAATCATTCCAATCCCTTGCTGAAATGAAATGAAATTGCCCCATCCCAACTTTTTTGGAACATGCAGGCATCAGTTTTAGAGTGAATATATATTTGAAAACTAAATAGGATAAAACATTACATATCTTGTCTTTGTACTGTGTTCATTCAAATACATGTCAATTTACAAATAACTGCTTTCTGTTTTTATGTGCATTTTAGCTACAGTCCCAACTTTTGTGGAAGTGAGTTTGTATATTACAGGAAGTCATGCCTGGGATAACTCATTAAAGCAATATTTTGTCCAACAATTGTCATAAATTTACATACTTTTCCTAATTTTACCCAAGTGTGGTCAATCAACCAGTCAGATATTTAGTTTAATTTAATAATGTGTTACATTTAACCATGCAGTTTGCACAGTTGGCTTTATTTGTTAGCTACATTATTGTTAGCTACGTTAGCCTTGGAGCTCCCATTCAAATCTAAAGACGTCAAACATGCCAATTTAACTATGCTTAAGGTAACCTGAAAATCTGTGTAATTTAGAGTTCTGGTGAAGCTTTGCAAAGTTTTAGTGTTATTAGTTAATGATCTGTAAAACATCCCCTTTTAGCCTTCCCTTGGTCTAGAGTAAACACTGTAGGCTCAGGCCTTGCCTTTTAAAGATAACCAAGCTGTGACCGAGTAGTAGGAGGCAAGCTTCATGCCAGACGAGATGCTTGCTCTTGCTATCTCAGGGCTGCAGTGCCCTGGCCTACTCCCAGAATAGATTACAGGGCAGGGGGCCATATTGAGGCATGTTTGCATAGTGCTGTTTCTGAAATAGGGGTCACTTCCTAGTGTACAGTTATAACTGGCATAGACAAAGCGTGTCTGATATCCAGAGCAAAATTTTAAGTGTTAATTTAAATGTTAAGTGTTCAATTGTAGAGAACCCTACAGACTGACAGGAACCAGGACTTGCAATGTCTATAATACAAATGTAGCCTTTTTAAATACTATCAAAAACTACCTGTTAACCAGAACATGCTTTCTGAGTTTTTCCATGTAATGTTGATGACCATAATCATAATGAGGTTTCTTTGGGGAATGTTTTGCCTTATTTTGCCTGCTTTATCTCTCTGCAATGAAAGCGTTTAAAAAAATACATTTTAGGTCAAAATAATTCTAAAACAGTATCTCAGGCCCAGGCAGCATTTCATAACCTTTTCATATAACAGCTTTCTGTGATGTAGCTTTTAAAGGCATTGCAAGATTTAGACGTCTGGTTCCAATTACCACCACTGTGAGCAGTTCTGACTCTGTGAGTTTCACATCACATCACTCGGAATGACTTTACTTGCATTTGATTGATCTGATTATGCATTTGTATTTAAAAAATGTGGAGTTTTTAAACTCCTGGGGAGATGCTGAGGTTACTGCAGCACCCCCTACTTTCAGTATTGTTTACCTGCGTTTGCAGCTGTGACTATGCACGTTATGATAAAAAAATAAAAACACTTTAAACAAAGCATTTTGAGTGAACTTTAGACTTACGCGTGACTGTAATTTTGAAACAAGTTTAAATAGATTTTAATTAATTGCTGACATTTGTGACTGATGGCAGTATCAATGTTGCATTAACTCTGCAGTGTGGTGGTGAAGTACCATGGACGAGCATCTCATGCGTCTGCATACCCCTGGGAAGGTGTGAATGCATTAGATGCTGCCGTGATGGCCTACAGCAACCTCTCTGTGCTCCGGCAGCAGCTCAGGCCTGCCTGGAGGATCCATGGTGAGCAACATTACCGCAGAGTTAAAGCGATTGTTCAAATTCATCAAACAGCATCAGAAAACCATTTGAGACAGCTAGTTTCAGGCTAGCGTGGGATGATTTAGACATGCAGTTTTGACGCTGGTAAGTGTTCACAAGCTTCCACTGTTGTTAGCCCAGCATGTGAGCGTGAGTGTGGTTTGGGAGCAGAGCGACGTGATTTTGCTCAGGGGGCATCTGTGTTCTTTTTTGCTCCGAAATTGCTCCAGTATTGCTCCATCCTCCGAGCCAGATAGGCCTTTTTTTCCACACCGAAACTGTTAAGCAGATCTATGTACTGGAAATTCACAGATCACAACAAAGTTCTACGGACATTACACAGATTTAGTCTCGTGTCTATTTTGCTGTGCGAATGATAAAAAAGATGGTGTTAAAAGCATGTGCATTCGTTTACCCTCAGCGGTTTTCTAGCTTGTGAGTGGACCGTTGCTTCAAGCCTACATCTTCCCAAAAAAGCCTGTGTAGCACAGAATGTTTAACTATTTTTAATTTTTTATCTGCCAACCTGGAAATCTTCTATAGCAGCCAATTTATTTGCATCCTTTGTTTTGATAAATGTGTTTTAAATGCAGGTAAAGTGGCCTAAAACCTCCCTCAAATCAAAATAATGTGCAAAGGTATTTTAATGAGATAAAGACTAAAAATAAAAATATTTACCATTAAGCAACTTCAGTTCAGCACTGAACTGCATTGGAACATACAGTATTTTTCTGCATAGCAACTGAAGTTTGTTAGGTTCTGTTTTTCTCTTTTTGGGATCCTTTTGGTCTTAAATAAAATGCTAAAGCTTTAAAATGGAAGGTGGTAGCAAGATTAAACCGACCCAGGTGCTGAACTAACAGCACAGAAATGAAATTAAACCCAAAAAATGAATTAGGAATGAAATATTATGATTATAGTGGACTACATAAATATACAATTGTATGCAAAAATGTAAGCACCCTTGGTCAAATGACACACCAATTTTTAAGGTGAAAAAAAGTTAACACATCCACATTGTGATGCACGATCACTGTTTATTGGCTGAAATTAATATACTGGGGAAAATAAAACAAAATGTGGCCTATTCAAAAGTTGTCACGTTTTATATTTAATGTTTTACTTTCTTCCAGTATGTTAAACCCGGCAAATAAACATTGCATGACTGTAACTGAGTAGAAGTTTTATCATTTGAAAATAGTCAAAACAAACATACTAGTTTCTCAGTGTGGTCTGAGCAGCTAATGTGGATGTTGTCACGAGTGTGTTTGAACTGTCGTGTCTTTCAGGGATCATAAAGCATGGAGGTGTGAAGCCCAACATCATCCCTGATTACAGTGAGCTGGAGTATTATTTACGCACCCCCTCCCACAGGGACCTGCCCACCATCAGAGCCAAGGCGGAGGCCTGCTTCAGAGCTGCTGCCATGGCAACAGGCTGTGAGGTCAGTCTGTTGAGCGCTGCATGCGCTCCAATATGCTTAAAAGTACTTATGTTCTCTCTACAAAGCTTTGCTAGCGTGCTCTGCTTTTCAAACGGTTAGTGAGCCAGAAATAAGCATGACAGAATTCGACTGGCTCACAGACAGTAAGCTTCTAGGATATGAAAGCAGATGCCTGCTTTGTTGCTGTGTAGCGCTGTCTGCTGAGTCAGTCTATAACTACGTGCTATTCACTATATAGTGAGTAGTGATACTAGTAATACTAGTAATTACACTATGTGCAGTCGTACTGACGTTCTGTTGATTTTCTAAAAAAATATGTTAACACATCCTCTACAGAGAACACACTTAAATATGCATGTGCATAATTTTAGTGCACAGTTTCTAATTTGTTTTTGACATTAATAGAAAATAATACATATAATATAAAGTATGCCATAACTTTTGCACAGTCCACATTTTATGCTTTGTTTTTTTTCCCAACATGTTAAATTCAGCAAATAAACAGTAATTTTTCATTAAAATGTGCAGAAGTGTGTTCTATGTAGAGGGTGTCTACAAAAGCCTCCAAGACTTAGTTCATCCACTCTGTACTTTTGTGCACCTGCAGCCACTTTACCCATCCTTCCTGACCATAACTTCCATTCCTCTAACCTTAAGACTAAACATTTTCAGTTGTTCCCACCCAACAAAAGCTGTCAGGAGTCACTGACATTAGAATCCTCTTGAAAGAGACACTGACATTCACACAAGCCGCTACCCACACTCACCTCAGCTGCCTTACAAATTTCTAAGAAAATGGAACCCTTAACAACAGTGCAAGACCTGGAGGACCACCAAAACTGTCACCATCAGACAAACAGCACTCATCTTTGAGGGAATCAAGCTCCACTCTTTAGATGTGAAGAAAATCCACAGTTGTTTCTGTCCATCCTTCCATTTTAAGAACACTGTGAGTCTGAAAAGATGTGTAGCTGTCAAGAAGCCCTTACTGAGAAATGCACTAGAACCCTGAAACTGGACATCTGAGATGTGGAAGGAAGTTTTATGGTTTGATGAGTCGAAAATTTGTAATTGGGAGTACTTGGACTGTTAAAAGCAAAGATTCAACCAACTTCTAAGACTGAACCTTTGGAGGTGGAAAAATATCCCTGCAGATTTCTTTCAAGAACTGAAAGTGAGTCTCCTGAAAAGAATGGAAGCTGTAATAAATGCAGAGTGGACACTGTAAATACTGAATGTATTGATATTATATTTAGTTGTTGAGGTTTCTGGGTACCACTTTAGAATAAGACTACCTTTATAAAGGGTTTAGGAATTTTTTTAACTTATTAATATTATTATTTAGGTACTTACACAAACACCTTCAAATCATTAATAAACAGTTACAACACATTAACAAAAAAGTGTGACCTGTTATATCTGATACACATGAATAGCAGACACGTGTAATGCTGACTGATCAAGAAGACAAAGTAAGATAAGTAACCAGTAAAATCTGAGGTTTAACAGTACAGATGAATGTGGGTTTACTGTTAACAACACGTCACTGTTGCCCTTGTTGAATGTTTTGTTGTAACTACTTATTAATGATTTTTGACTTAAATAAATACAAAAGTGGCCTCTGACTTTTGCACAGCAGTGATGAGAGGCTTTCCAGAGATTAGAAGACCATTTACAGCACAGTCAGTGACTGGAAGGCAGCATTTCTCTGTGTTCCAGCTGTGGTGGTTTGAACTTTACTAAGCACTGGATGGACTGGCAAGTTTACACTACACTACCTTACATTACATTTTGGCAAGTGAAGTTATATTACGTATCCATACGGAAAAAATACATAGGCATTTTTTTACTGTTGTATGCAAAAGCGCCCCTGGTCAAATGATGTTTTGTTGATTTTCTAAGTGAAAATAACTTACATGTGTCAGGTTCCAGTCCTCACGGGCCAAAGCACCGCAGACTTCAGCACACTGCCTCATTAAACACACCTGATTCAGCTCATTGGCTAATTAGGCCTTCGTTAATTCAGAGCGTTAGATGAGGGTAAACGCTAACCTTCACAGCACTTTGGCCTGGAAGGTTCCCAGTTTGACATGCCTGCTCTACAGAGAATACACCTCTGCACATTATGACACACTATTACTGTTTATTTGCTGAATTTAACATAGTGGGAAAAAATAAAACAACATTTTTCTTTGACTTTTTCCAATATACCTAGAAATTGTGCAGGAAAATTTGCAGGAAAATGTGTTAACTTATTTTGACTTTACATATCAAATACATTGTTTTGTTCCAAAATGTATTTCAAACACTAAAATACTTTAAATATAAAACATCTTTTGGCCATTTTCATACATTTTCTAATGTATTTGATACATACACTGTGCATGTATTTATTTTCTGTATAGGTATATTATATAATGAAAATATTTTCCAGACGTCCCAAAAATGCGTCCCAAAAAATTGTGTTAAATATTAAATATTTTGACTCGATTTAAAACAATTCCACTTGCCAGGATATCTCTCTTTGCAATGTTCTTGCTACACTGTACAAGCCAGTGTACCAATAGTGGTACTGTGTGCTGGTCGAGTGGTAAATTTACATTAGCCTGTGTTCATAGCCAGTGTGCTAGTGCTCAGAAAGCAAATATGCCAATTGGAACACAGCCGCTCCCCTTAACCGTGTAAACAGGACTCACATGGTGCTTGTTTCCATAGTGATGACTGCCTCGCTGTAGAAGCTTTTCACAGATTTTTTCGATCACGTTGTCTCACACGTTTTAACACACGAGAATGTGTGGAAATGCAGATAGCGCTGCTACTACACACTGCCAGAGCGCTGTAGTAGTGAGTAATGTGTTCATTTCTAACATAAACATCTAATTTAAAAGTGTGAAGAATAAGATTTCTATGTGCTACAAGCACTGAAGGGGCTTAAAGGGGAACTCCACCAATTTTTCAAAGTTTCAACATCACTAAAAGGTGAGCACAAAGTGATTTAGAGTGGTTTGGTGTGAAATGCTTTGTTCTAGAGAAATGTACTGAGGCAGAATTGTTCACAGGTGATAGGAACCAGATGTCTGAAGAGTTTAAAGCCTCTAAAAGCTCCCTCACAGAAAGTTATTACATGAAGTGGTTATGAATATGCTTCCTGATACCTGAGACATTTTTTTACGATAGTTTTGTGATTAAGTTTAGGCCTAAAACGACTTGTTAATCCATTTATTTTAAACTGTTCATGGTGGAGCTGTACATGCAGGGTGTTGTGAGGCAAAGCAGCCCCCAAAGATAATGTAATTTTTTCAGATTTTCCACTATTTTGCCATCATCAACATTACATATTAAACTCTGAAGATGTGTAGGTTCACTGGTGGTTTTGGATAGTAAAAAAAATGGGCTATATTTGTGTTGTATACATCATGAGCCTGGTTCCCATCACCACCACTGTAAAGAAATCTGAGTCTGTATGTTTCTCTACAACAGACCAATATACATCAAACCACTCTGAATGACTTTGTTTACATTGCACTGACAGAAAATCATTGGAATTCCCCTTTGTCATTCCACATGATCAGTGCCAAATGGCCATGCTCCTTTGAAATGTTTTCATTAAACAAACATGCTTTTAGTCCTCCATAGTATAGCTACATACATGCAGTACTTGCTACATACTCATTGCACTCTCCAAAAACAATTTTCTCCCCTCGGTAAGCCGTTTTTGTACTAAATGAGAAAGACAATCCAGTTAGACTGAAGCTGTGAAGGGGAACATGACAGGGTGGAATATTTTAGGCTAAACCAGCTGCCGTTCTCGGTTATCAAACGTAAACCTTCTCACATCAGTTTTTTGACAGTAAATTACATGACATTGCTGTGAATATTGGAAAAATTTGTTTAAAAAGTTTAGTTTAAAAGCTTTATTTTGTGTGACGGGGTAGATATGTTGTGCTTGCCACACCCTGTTTTGGATTGCCAAAAAGTAGTAATGTTACAAATGATAAATGTTGAGTAAAAACAAAATCTACCAGCTTTGGAACTTGCTGCCCAAAGCCTTGTCATTTAGTCATCATGCCCTTTAATATGACATTACATTCTTTACATGGCAGCATACGTTGGTGTGATGGCCTATATGCCATATATAACAGTGTCAAATGATTAAAATAATTCATTGCAATTCACGGCATTCTTTTGTGTAGTTAGTCTCAGTTAATCACAATTGTCTTAATTGCTCAAATTTAAAGGTGGTGTGGTTTGTTATAACTATATGAGTCATAACAGCAGTGCTGGATGGTTTGAAGGGTCAAACTAATAAAGCGTGTTAATGATATTAAAAAACTTGTGATGCTGATCATTGTGTTAACAGGTTATAAACACTTTAAAGTTGACAGAACCACTGTATCATCACTCAGGACAAAACTTTGTATCTCAAACATGGTAACTTTTTCAACCTTAATGTAAAATAACAGATTGAGTCATTTATAGATGTAATGCTAGTGCACAGTACACTATAAAGTAAAGTGGGAGGACTTTGTTTCTCAAAGGTCGAGATCCTGTATGCGAAGAATGAGTTTTATGAAATCCTGAGGAACCGCACGCTGGAAGGCCTGTATGAGGAGAACGGGAAAGCTCTCGGCATGAACTTAATCACAGAGGACTCTTCTGGTATGGAAACAATGCCACATCATCATAAGACTCACATCTTTCTCAGCACTCTAATAATGAGAGCTGGGGTCTCAACCTGGCTTTCTGATGCATTAGGAGATACAAAATGATATTTTTTTTGAAATATTGACTTACAATAACAATCACTACAATCACTATAATAATAATAATAATAATAATAATAATCACTTCTTTTCTCAAAGTAAGTATACAGCATCCCAAATTAATGATTGATTATTCAGAAATAATAACCTTTTTGAAATGTAATCACTCATTATTTCAGCATAGAATGTCAAAATTTCAGCTTAATAACTCAAAATCCTGAGATACTCAGTCAAAACCGTGAGAGAATGTCATTAGTTTGTATGGAGCCCTGCTTGTGACATCCTGTATAAATAAAAATAATGCGTGGCCACGACTTAGTAAGGCATGTGAATGGGATCCTAATATTTGGCCACAACTCAGGAAGGTGTGGGAACAAGATCCTAACATGTGGCCACGACTTAGTAAGGCATGATCTCGTTCCCACGCCTTACTAAGTCATAATCATGACTTAATTATCTTGTTCCCGCGCCTTACTAAGTCATTGCCACGCATTAGGAACTCGTTCTCATGCTTTACTAAATTGTGGCCATGCATTAGAATCTTATTCCCATGCCTTACTAAGTCATTGCCACACATTAGGATCTTGTTTCCGTGCATTAATAAGCTGTGGCCACGCATTATTTTTATTTATATGGGATGTCACCAGCAGGGTGCCGTAATTTTGAGATGCTAAGTCAATATTTCAAGAAACTAAGTCATTATATTAAGATACTGAGTTGAAATTTTGCTAAAGGAAGGAAAAACAGGTAGTCTTTTCTCCTCTGCCAGGTGGGAATGGGCTTCCACGGATAGATAAGGCAGTGCAGTCTGAACTGTTTTTTCCTTGGCATGAGATGTGCGTGGTTGTGTATTTCTGCCTGTTTGCAAGTTAAAAGGACAGAAAGGTGTGGAAAAGAATGCCAGCCCTCTTATAACCTGCTACACCCACTTTGTGGTTTCACTTTTCTTCATATCAGGCTCTACAGATTTTGGGAATGTGACCCATGCTGTTCCAGGGATTCATCCTTATTTCTACATTGGATCTGATGCACTGAATCACACTGAGGAGTATACAGTTGCCTCTGGTGAGTATGAAAAGAGGGGCGACAGCTCCCTCTGCCTGTGTTATAGTGTTACTGCGTGTGTTCCAGGACTTTGAGTACTGTATAGGTCTAAAACTCAAGTAATGAAAGTGGAAGAGAAGCGCTGGGGCTTTAATGAATGAGCTTCTTTGGATTAGTATGTCTTCTTGATTCGCAGAGCCCTGCACATGTATCTATTTGTACAGAAGAACATATTTTCAAATTAAGTCTTTAATTCAGTTACTACTATACCAAGAGTAACTACTGTGAAACTAATTGACATTTGGACAGCACACATGTGGGTCCTTGGGAAGATTTGGAATGGATATTGTGACATCCTACGCTCAGGTTAAGGCAGCGTAGCATGTTCTAAAGAGGCTTTTTTTCAGTTTCATAGCGTTACCCTTGTGATGAAGCACATCCGTCTGCGTTTCGGTGTTTGCAGGTGCAGAGAAGGCGCAGTTTTTCACCCTCCGTGCTGCTAAAGCCCTGGCTATGACTGCAGTGGATGTGCTCTTTGGCCCGGGGGTCCTGGAACGGGTCAGGAAAGAGTTTACAGAGACCAAACTCATTGAGGAAAGAGGCCTGAAACGCCAGCAGGCAAAGTATGCTGAAGCAGAGCCCAACAAGAGCCAAGAAGCAACCACATTCAACACAAGGTATAACCTGGAGAAAGTTTAATATACCCACTTATCCCTTTGTGTTTGAAGATGGCTTCTGTAGCTACAAGTTAATGTAGGTTAGTAATGGGAGCGTATCCTCACCATTTGATGAAAAACCTCTTGGATATGTTTGAGCCACATGTTGTTGGTTGGTTTTTCTTTCCCCATTCTGGTTTAGTTCATTAATATGGAGGATCCAAGCAGCCACAATACAGTTGAAATGGCAACTGGAAATGGAAATCATAATTGGGAAATACCGTACGTCTCTGTTTTGTCCATTTCCGGTTATATTTTCACCTTGGTCCCTCCAAACATTGAAAGGAGTGAACTTTAAAACTGTCTAAACTAGTGATTATATATGTTCCTCCAATCTGTTTCTCAGACCACTCATATTTAATGTTTTAAAGTTCACTTGAGCAATTAGGAACACTAAAATGGTTAGTCATGACTTTGTTTCCTATGTGGTAAGTATCTAGTTTTAAACCAAAAAAGCAACTGGATTAGGCACAAATATGATAATAATACACAAAAATAGACCTGGAATTTTCAAAACTCTTTAGAAAATGGCATGAGAACTCTAACCAGGTCCAGAACCAGAACCAGGCACGTCAGTCAGGCTGTCTGGGTGTAGCATGATCTCACTAAACCTGTTCTCCTCACTGTGCGACGCCTTCATTGAGGAGGCTCCTTTACATCATTCGTCCTCTTCTTCCTCTCATCTCTCATCCCTCCTCCTCTGAGATGCTGAGTGCCGGACTCGATGGGAATAAACTCCTCCAAGGAGACAGACCCCACTGTGAGCGATCACCTTCGGCCTCATTGTCGTCAGAAAGGCAGTGAAAGTTAAGGGGTAGCCACCCCTTGGCTGCGCCTCTGAATCTGTACCGTTTGCACAACCAGCACTAAAGCAGCAGTATAAATGAATATCTTCCACATGGGTTTTAACCAACTTCACTTCATAGTCCCCACACTTACTCTTCTCACTGTAGTTACTGTCTCTTTCCTGAGCCAGCAAATGATTTTTGTGGCAAAAAAAGTCAGCGCAGTGCAGAGAAGACTAAGAATACAACTGAAACCATTTAATTCAATAAATGAGGCATTGTAACATTTTCAACATTGACCATAATTCTACATGATACCCATGCTTACCAGAGCATACACAAAATCGCACAGTTTGCTCCAAAGAGAACAATGCAGAAAAATAGATTTTAAAGGAAAAGGTTTACATGAAAAACATTTGAAACAATTTAACACTCTAATCATTTCCTTTAGTAGGGACTAACTAATTTAGTAGTCAGTGGTCATTCTTGATGTATTTAGGGATGACCCATGCATGAAAGGATGACTTTTTAGAGTATTAAAATTTCTTAAAACAGCATCTTCATTACTCAGAAGAAACAAAAATATCACAATATACAATACGATGTATTCACAGATATAAACAAGCTAAGTACATATTTGGTGCAGCATTTTAAATTATTACTTTTCCAATAAACTGAATTCAAAACCAGCACAATAAAAGCATTCTTCACAAAATAGATGCTCACTTAATAGATGACCAGGGAGTAAAACAATTAGGGATGCATTGATACCATTTTTTCCAGACTGAGCACAAGCACATATTTTTAGTACTCACTGATTACTGGTCTGATACCATACTGAGTAACATACTTAAAAGTTCACTCGCATGCACTCTATCATCCCATCATAATCGGATTTCTGCAGTTATGTGATTATTCAAATGGTCATGGAAACAGCATATTCTGATTTCTTAGATCGGAGTAAAGTCTAGAAATGCGATTAAGAAATCGAGTAGCTGTATCATCATTAAAATCTAGCTCATGAAAATCTAACTCATGAAAATTAGCTAGCTATGCTACATTAATTACGTTGAATCGGGTAACACTGCAGTGGAGAACAGTGTGTTTTGTTCCACATCAAAAACAGCTTTAAATAAAGTATGTTTCATAGTTTTGATCCCCACTCCTCATCTGTCTCTTTCAACAACAGTCTCTGTAGCTTCGAATCATGTCCGAGGCTGATGCATGTCACATTTTGAGCTTTGTGTCTTGTAGTCTTTTGATTGAGCTGTAGTTGAATGTCCTCTAAAGCCAGGCTTACACTGTGTGATTTTAGAAATTCTGTTCTTTATTGACTCACACTGTACATTTGAACAGACCATTTTGACAGACAAAGCCTGCAATTTACATGCTCACACTGTATGAAAATGCTCGGTCTGTGAAATGCAGCCTCTTCACACAGCTCTATCTATGGACAATGATCAATAAAGCTGCTTCATTCAAAACAATATGCTGTGCACCTGAGTACCAAGCAAGAACACTGAGAGCGCTTACATGCACTCTATCATCCCATCATAATCAGATTTCTGCAGTTATGTGATTATTCAAATGGTCATGAAAACAGCATATTCTGATTTCTTAGATCGGAGTAAGGTCTAGAAGTCCAATTAAGAAATCCAATAAAGAGAGCTGGATTTTAGCTCAGTAATCAGATTTCTCAGTGCATGTAAACTCTGATTTCTTTTGGATTTTTCAGGCTGTGCATGTGTGAAAACAGACGGCGGCACCGGAAATAAGCAAGTGGCGCTGCCGCAAGACGCAGCTAAACACTTTTGAAGCGACGCTGAAACCAACTACATTCTCGACGAAATGAAGGATTTCAAAATTCTTCATCTTCTAGATTATGTATGTTCATATTTTCAGCAACTTTACCTAAAACTCATGAAGTCTGAGTTTAGATTACCTTTTTGTCACATCTTCTGTGAGTTTATTGGCCAGTTTCAAAGAAGAAATCTGATTACTGCCTGACTCATGTAGACCTGGAGTTTTCCATTATCTGATTACTCACATGCATGTAAACATGCTGTTAGCAACAGTTCTTTGTGTAAGCAGACCCTCCTTCACTGCCAGCTTCAGTCATTTGTTCATTAGTGCGGCAGTTTACACTAGGCTTACGTCACATGGTACCAGGTGGTATCAGATGTTTGTATTGGTGCATTTTTCTGTGTACAACTAACAGAGCACAGTATCAGGTCGATACCCAATACCAGTATCGGTATCAGTGCATCCCTAAATACGCTATATAAACCACTACTTTTTTGAAATAAAGGTGATGACCTTTCCCTTTCCTTTTAAAGAAGTCTTTAGACTACATCAAATGCTGTACATTACAATTGCTGAGTTTTTCTCTTCACGGTGTGGCTGTGGAGATTCAGACTGGCCTCCATCATGAGAAGAATAAACAGAACTTAGCCTAGGCTACATCTCTATAACTTACTTTCATGGCTGCAAGACCTGATGAGATGATGGACTCACACTACAACTGTTTCCATGCATCCACTGAAGTTTTTGCACAATGCACATTTCTATTTACACTACATAGAATGTATCACAGAAATGTCATCTGGCACACCTGGAGGTAGGCCTGGGCAATAAAACGATAATAATCAGACATCTTTCACGATATCGATAATGTGCATTTGAGGTATTTTCGGTAAAATGATTATGCCATTCTGTAACTCAGTCAAAGTAGCTTGAAATTTGAAAAATAGGGAGAAGTCTAGCCATTCACTCATAACAGCACCAGCCAGTGTGACAGTTAGGAGAGACAGCTAGCTAGTTATTCAGTGTTGAAATGTAGAAAGGCCTCAGTTTATGTTCCCTTTAAATTAACATTAACTGTAGGTACTGTTTTCCCTTATGTCTTCTGTATACATTTAACAGCTACTTTCTTTTTTATTTTTACATTCCCAATTTAGTCATTTCCAATTCCTCATGCTAGCTAGGCCTAGCTAGGCTATCAAGCTGGGAGGCTGAAGGCCAGCACATGCTTTCTCTGCAATGTCATTGGACAGCTCAACATGTTTAGAGGAGAATGCTAATTGCCAATTCTGTTATTAAAGCTAACAGATGCCCACATTGGCTGGCATCGAGTGATGGGGAGAGGGAGGGCAACCGAGGCCAATTAGGTTATGTTCACATTACCAGGTTGAAGTGGCACAAATCTTTTTTTTTTCCCTAATGTGACTCTGATCTGATGATCCGACCTGAGCCACTTCCGTTTGTGGTCCTAGATTGGATACGTATCTGATTTATGGCCATGTGACCTTAATGTGAATGCTCAGATCGGAATTTTGCATGCACCATCATTCAGCATTATCATGGCAGCAGCGCCGAACAGAAGTTAAAGTCTGTGAACGGTTGAAAAGCAGCATATCTCACCATTTTTGCCTTTGTCACGCTCTAATAATGAGCAGCTGAGAGCTTTCAGAGTTAATCTAGGAGCACAATCTGTTCAGACTAATGTCACATATCGGTCACATTTAAAAGATATTGTGAACAGCCAAACAAATAAATCAGATTTGGTGAGAAAATCAAATTTGGGCCACTTTTACCTGCTGTACAAACGTAGCCTAAGTCACGTTAAAGTCTTAGTGTGCAATATCTTCAAAATATAGACTGTTTAGACTTAAATTTGATTATTAGGACATGGATGTAGTAATTATTAATAATGATGTGGAAAAAAAAAGTCTTTTGGCCAAAATCTTTTGGCCATATCGCCCAGTCCTACCTGGAGGTATCCTGGAAAAAACAAAAATACAGATATACAACTGCTTCTATGCAAACTACAATATCTATGCATTGCAAATGCCTAAAATGTAATTTTCCGTTGCGTCAATCTATTGTAGTTTCGAAGACAGTCTAAAGCTAAAAGAACATAATGTCCCTCTCATGCACAAGTTAGTAGAGGAGAAGAACGATAAAGACAAACGTCTATTTTCTTTGTTTTTCTTGCAACCTGATAGCTTAAAACTGTGGATAAGGTCTCTGGGTCTGTGTAATGTTGCAAGAGTCCGGCTTCCTTGCTTGACTTCTGCTCCGACTTAGACGGAATGGACAGAATGTTCTAGCATTCTATAAGGCGGTCTCCCTTAATGACCGTTAAATGGCCCAAAAGCCTTCAGGACATCTCCATCGCACCACTAGTTACTTCAGTAACAGCTGTTAGGAGTAGATAGACCAGTATATGATGTTGAAGAGCGTGTACGCTCCGGGGAAGATCACCCGCGAGTATTTGTCTATGGCGTGGGTGTCGATCCACATGCTGCTGTTGTAGGAGCGCGTGTTTCCTCCCTGGCTGTGAGCGCCCTGCTCTTTGTCCAGGGCCAGCTGCACCAGGATGCGTTCGCGCTTGTCTCCGTTCATCTCTGGCATGCCATAGTGACCAGTGGTCATGGCGTCCATCTCGCTGTAGCTGCTGCTCATCATGATCTGGCCTGGGTGAGATATCCCGCACGTGCATGGCAGCTGGACACAAAGGTGAAAGAACGGTCAGGGCTTTGTGTAATGCTTGTTGACATATTGGTGCCACTGAGGCCACTGTGCCAGTGGGAAGCGACATGCCTGTGCACAGGTCTAATAGAGGAGGCTTAAAGGAATAGTTTATCTGTGTCAAACTGACAATTGTCCCCTTACCTCAAATGTATCAAAATGTAGGGTTCGATATGACTGTTACTATTTTTCTTAGCTATGCACTATAATTTTTATACTTAACTATGTCATGATTTTTGTAGAAAAACTATATACACATACAGTGTAAGAAGCAAGTCAATTTGGGATAATAAAGTTACTAGTTAGCTAGATAGGTAGGTAAACAGTAGGTTTGGGAATCTCTGCCGACCCAAAAACATGATACTGTCATTAAACTTGAGCTATGATACAATTCTGTTATAAGTCTTAATATGTGCAATATGATACAGTTGTATAGATCTGGTTAAGCAGATCAATCGTCATTTGGAATTGTCAGCTGATAACAGTTCTAGAGCTCAATACACTTCTCTGACTCTTCAACCCTTGTGCTAACATTCAACAACTATGAGTTCCTCTAAGCAGGTGGCCAAGGATCTGAAAATTAAGCTGCAAGGTGCATCACAAAGCAGGGAAAGTTATAAAAGGACATCAAAGTACCCAAAGCACAATTCCACTGTTGGAAATGTCATTTAGAAATGGCAGTAAATGGGAACTGTGGAAGTCAAGGCAAGATCTGGAAGAACTCTCAGATATATCCTGGCCAGAAAGGCAGAGCAAAACCCCCACATGACAGCAAATGAGCTGCAGGAAGGTTTTCTGAAAACAGGGATAGGTAACTCCAAAAAGTGTTTGCAAACTGTAATATCTAGAGGGGTTACGAAGTACAGGAGTAAAAGTTTGTATGTTATAATTACTATTTATTTTCTTTCTGTTTTTTTTTTAAAGTTAATCAAATATAATGAACTTGCGCATGAACATTTAAGAAAATGTTCTTTTTTTAAAACAGTTTGCTGCAGAGAAAATGTTATTTTGCCATGAGTGCATACAATAATTATTGTTAAATGTCATATTGTTTGATATATTACAATTTATTACTTTGTGACTGCAAACCACTGCTCCAAACAAAAACTTTGTTGTTTATCTCATGAAGTTTACACTTAGTTCATCCCACTCTCCTGTTTTTACTGAAGCAAAACAGAAGAGTGAAGTAGATAAACAACATTTAACTGGCTCTCTCTTTGTTTACAATTCCTGTCTCAGTGATGGTTGCGAGCTCTATTCTCCCATAAGTAGGGCAAGCGTGTATTCAACAATCTACCTACCTACCTCCAACAGATAAAACATTGATCTCACCAGAAAGAAACAGCAAACTCTCATCGATTAAGGCAGAAATGCACTCGGGAAACATATTATTATTAACATATCGCTGCTGTCGGAAGAAAACCTTTGCTACTAAATATTCCACAGTCAACTGTCAGTAGTATTATAACAAAGTGGAAGCGATTGGGAACACCAGCAACTCAGCCATGAAGTGGTCGGCCACGTAAAATGACAGAGCGGGGTCAGCGGATGCTGAGGCACATAGGTCGCCAACTTTCTGCAGAGTCAATCGCTACAGACCTCCAAACTTCATGTGGCCTTCAGATTAGCTCAAGAACAGCATAGAGAGCTTCATGGAATGGGTTTCCATGGCCGAGCAGCTGCATCCAAGCCTTACATCACCAAGCGCAATGCAAAGCGTCGAATGCAGTGGTGTAAAGCGCCGCCACTGGACTCTACAGCAGTGGAAACGTGTTCTCTGGAGTGACGAAACACGCTTCTCCATCTGGCAATCCGATGGACGAGTCTGGGTTTGGTGGTTGCCAGGAGAACGGTAGTTGTCTGACTGCACTGTGCCAAGTGTAAAGTTTGGTGGAGGGGGGATTATGGTGTGGGGTTGTTTTCCAGGAGTTGGCCTCGGCCCCTTAGTTCCAGTGAAAGGAACTCTTAATGCTTCAGCAGACCAAGAGATTTTGGACAATTTCATGCTCCCAACCTTGTGGGAACAGTTTGGGGATGGCCCCTTCCTGTTACAACATGACTGCGCACCGGTGCACAAAGCAAGGTCCATAAAGACATGGATGAGCGAATTTGGTGAATCAGAAATTAGAGCGGAGGCTGCGAGCCAGGCCTTCTTGTCCAACATCAACGTCTGACCTAACAAATGTGCTTCTGGAAGAATGGTCAAAAATTCCCATAAACACACTCCTAAACCTTGTGGAAAGCCTTCCCAGAAGAGTTGAAGCTGTTATAGCTGCAAAGGGTGGGCCGACATCATATTAAAACCCTACTGATTAAGAATGGGATGTCACTCAAGTTCATATGCGTGTGAAGGCAGATGAGTGAATACTTTTGGCAATGTAGTGCATATATATATATATAATGTTAATAACAATATGTTACCAAAGTGCATTTCTGTCTTAATCCATGACATTTTGCTGTTTCTTACTGGTGAGATATCTGTTGGAGATATAATAGGGGGAAACTGCATACAAGTGATTTCTACCCAAACTATTCCTTTAAAGCTGACATTTTAAGAAGTAGTGGACGCCAACCTCTAAGTTAACCTCTAAGTTCTTTCCAGGAATTTATATAAATCCTTGCATTGACCATTTTATTGCATGGACAACGCTTCATGTACCAATGGTTCGAATATCAATACCACTGCACTACAGCCTTCAGATCTTTTGAAAAAACTCAAGGCCAATTTCAGTAAACAGATATGTTTAACAGACTGTCTGCTGTAAAAACATCATTCTGTCTTTCTCTTTATCCACTGAGTCGTAATGGCTCACATCTTCTGTGTTCAAATTACTTAAAAATGTTTTGAAAGTTTTCAACGGAGACTTTAACAGTGGTCTCAAATTACAAACTTTTCAGATAACTTCAGTACCAGCAGGCAACATTCAGATAATAACCAAGGGTAGTTTTAGCTGTAAGCTGCTTACCCTCTCTCTCAGCTTCCTCTCCTTACGCTCCTGCAGAGTGGACAGGTAGTTAACGGCTGCATACTCTATTACAGAGAGGAAGACGAAGACGAAGCTGACCCACAGGTAGATGTCAACGGCTTTGATGTAGGACACTCTGGGCATGGAGGCGTTCACCCCTGTGATGATGGTGGACATGGTGAGCACCGTGGTGATGCCTGAGGACACAAAAATAAAGCACAAATTTTCAACACATGTAAACAACTGGGACAGTTTAACATAACAAAAATGCTTTGTATAAACATTTCAAGTGAAATAAATAAAAGATTAACAGTGAAGTCCATAAGTAACTGGACAGAGGAACTTTTGGTAAAGAGTTTAAAATGAGGCAGAATGTTAGTCTTAATGTTTACTATATTGAGTGAACCAAATGGGAATGGTAGCCCTTTTTATATATAGTTGTCCCAATTCAGGGGACCTTTACTAACGAGCAGCTGCTCAGTTGTTTCTTCCGCACCTGTGTGTCAATATTTGCTCATGCACAAAACAGCTAACAAAAGGTCTGGAGAAGATTCTAGATGTGGCATTTGCATTTACAGCCTGGTGCTGTTCTCTGTCAATATTAGGCTCAAAACAAATGCTGATGCCAGTAAGGTAGGCCAAGATGGGACTACAAATCAGACCAGACTGATCACAGAGATACAAAAAATAATTGTGCCAAGTCAACTTCTTACTTTGTTAAGAAGCAAACATGCACCTGTGTGCTTAGCAAGTACAACCTAGCAACGATATAACAAATATGACTGAAGAATACTTTCAACTATGCAAAAAACATTGAAAAAACAAACAGGATGTTGCTGTAGATGTGTGAAACCATTAAGAAAAATTAGCCATACAATGCCTGTGGAGTTCTAGAGGAAGTCTTACTGACAGACTAGATGTAACAGAGTGATAGAAAGAACTGTTCATGATCCAAAAGCAAGTCACCTCATAGTGGGCTTCCAGTGGAAGTGAATCACTCTGTGAAACAGTCTTTATTCTGAAGTGAACTGAAGCACTGGAGGCCCTTAGATCCAATCAAATGCCTCAAAAAAATTTAATGGCACTTCAGCTTGCAGCAGAACGATGAGCCTTCATTTATTAACTCATTTATCCATTTACATCTGGTGCCCTGAATTAGGGAGGTATGTTGAAGCAGGCAATACAATGATATTTTATCAGTATCATGATACACTTTGTTACTGTGATAATACACTTTTGTGAGCATATCATAAATATACCTCAAAAACACCGACCAACTGCGTGTTCCATTAAAAACAGAGCATGATTAGTCCTGATTAATCAATCAATTTAGTGTGTCCAGAGTTTTGATGGCATTTTTTAAATGTGGCACTACTCGTGCATTATGTCGGTGTGTCAAAGTATTGTGATAAGTATTGTGAAATTGTCGTGACGATATTTTTGCCATCATCCAGCCTGAGGAATATGTATAAAAAGGACTGTGGTTCCTATATGGCTAGACACACATACCCTCAAATGAAAGATGACATTTCGTTCTTTAATCTCACAGCAACTCTTTCATTACAAATCCAGTATTTCAGTTGTGTCTAATCACTTAAGAACTACAGTGTACATTTTATGACTAAATCAATTTTAGTATATCAGTTCACCATCATCATCCTGTGAACGGGGCATAATCTGTTTGCTCTTGGCAAATTGACATCCAAGCCATGTTTCATGCTATAAAAGTGAGTATCTTTACCCAGAGGCACCCTGGCAGGGACGGCTCGGCGGTCAATCCAGAAGGACACCCAGGACAGCATGACCATCAGAGTAGCAGGAAAGTAGGTCTGCAGCAGGAAGAAGAAGATGTGACGCCGCAGGGTGAAGTTGATGTACAGTCGGTTATACCAACCTGGAGGAACAAACCGAAGAGCAAAGTGTTAGAGTCTAAAACTTTTTTTACATTATAAAATGTACAGTGTCTTGTCAGTGGATGCCCTTTAGAGCACTGAATAGAGCAAATCGAATGATGAGCATTTTAAAGCAGTTGACTTGTCGGCGCTGGTGTTTGCTCAGTCCCTCATCCCTCCAAGCACTCTTTTAACACACTTATAGCTCATAAAGTAATGAAATGGACCTCAGAGATGAGGCCAAGTGGACGAAGGCTTGTTAAAACCAGTACTGAAACAGGCTGTATAGAAGAATTCAGCAGAACAGAGCTGACTAAAAATATATGTTTTAGGTTTATTGTCACTCTGGCTTTAATTTCTTAGTCTGGAAGCCGATTAATAGCTATTTTTCGCATTTAAAACTTTCTTGTGGCAAATTTAATGTATTAAACCCTTTTTTCCATAACACGGGACCGTCCATTTCATTTCATTTTACACCAACCATTTCATTACGGGTTTTAACAATCCCTCGTCCACTTGGCCTCATTGTTTCCCCTCAGTGGAATCCCTGATGCAATCTTAAGGTCCATTTCATTACTTTATGAGTGCAAGTGAAATGTGGTAGATGAGTCCTTGGAGGGGAGATGGACCAAGCAAACACCAGTGTCAACTTCAGCAGCAGACTTGCCCACAAATTACTGCGACGTGACGCATTTCCCTTTTCAAAAATTGAAAATAATGATGGACAAAGCTGTTTGAAAGCCCTAACAGTGAACTACTTTAAAATGCTTTACACTTTAAAACTATAATATCATACTATAATAGAAACAGTGTCCAGCTATTATCTCTAAATTGCATACAACATCTGGACTTTGGCTTAGCTTTCATGCTGACTTTTGCTTTCTACTTTGGTGCCCTTCTAAAACATATTTACGAGTTATTAAGCTGCCTAAGAGACAACTAGAGTGGTCAAAGCTGCTCCAAGGCCAAAGGGGCTACTTTGAAGTGTTATTTCATTGTTTTGATGTTTTCATTATTATTCTAAAATGTGAAAAATAGTAAATACAAGGAACAACATCAATGAGCCACAAGTCCTTCGACTGGTACTGTATATATTACATTACCTATCCAGAGGTTGATATGGGTTGATTTAACAGTATGTGGCCACTGGAGGGAGCACTGGGCCACTAATCCACTGCCTTGGTCATTAAAGCCTTAAAAGTTAAAGTTAAAACCTGACCCAGCACAGGTTAATCCCATCAATACTGAACTTGTTGCAGGTTAATCTGGTTAATACTGAATCTACCTTGGCATGTTTTCAAACTCTACCTAGCGGTCGGGTATCACTTATCAGAACAGGATTTGTTAGTAAGCCTTATTATTATAAATTCAGCCCACCACACAAATGCTTCGAGACGGGGGGTAACTCTACTTCTAGAGGAAGGCTAAGGTGCACAATATAGTTTTCCCTGTTCTACTGTAAATCTGCTCAAAGTTCTATTGCATCGCTTGTTGCAGAGCAGGGAAGAAAGAGCCTCATTCACCAATATCTTAAGCTTGTTCTTAAATTTGTTCTTGAGAAAGGTCCTAAGAAAAAAGTGTCAGATTCATGATGTTTTTTAACCACAGAACTGTTCACACCTTTGTGCTCGAGTGTGTGTAGATTCTGTTCTTACTTAAGGACAAATCCCACCGAAGAAAACATTGGTGAATGTCAGAAAAACGGCGTAAGACGAAATTTCCTCTTAAGAACGGTTGGTGAATGAGGCCCAGGGTTCTCAATTCTTTCTCTTTACAGACATGAACAACAGTCTGTTTCTGCTGTCTGGTGTCTAATAAATCAGCCAAAACATTAGTACCGGTGCTACTGTAGAAGGCCAGCTTTGTGGTGGTGTGGAACTCCTGAATGAGGAACTGAGAGAGCGAGATCCTGTCATCCGTCTTCAGAGAGTCGTTCCCTTTCTTCCAGTACAACATCAGGTCATCGTCAGTGTAGGCATCTGCAAAAGGAATGAGGAACCACGAAGATCATCTCACTGAAGAAAAAATTCACACCTCCATGTTTCTAGGAGCAGGTTAAAACCTCCAGAACATAACTAAACTGGAGATCTAGCTACAATGACTGGCAACTTTGGCCCCATTTCGACACTTTTTTAACATGGCCGCTCCCTCTTGGACCACTACTTGGATGTGCGTCACACATACGCTACACAAGCGGGCACTCGTGGCAGAAGGAAAGGAGCGGACAGTGAGGAGCGGATTATTGGCCCTCGGGAGGTTAGCCTCAGTGAGCTAATCGGTTAGCCATGCAAACATTTCAATGTAAAACCTTTGTTTTGAGAAGTCTGAACATAACGTAAATATAATTTCTGAATAAATGCTTTGAAAGGTCTATAAACTACAAGTCTGTAACATGCTAACCAGCTAGCTAGCGGAGGAAAGTGATTAAGTATCAGCAGTCATCTATACCAGATGGAGTTGTTTGCAACCTAAACCTCAGCAATTAGAATGTTTCGGTACTGAAATAATACGCATTTTAAAGTACTTTACTTATAAACAGCCTTGTCTGCCATGTGGATGTTCTGCTGCTGAAGTCGACGCTGGTGTCGGTCCCTCATTCCTTATCAGGACTCATCTAATACACTTCACTTGAGCTTATAAAGTAATGAAAAGGACCTTAGGATTGCGTCAGGGATTCCTCCGAGGGGAAATGAGGCCATGTGGACAAGGTCTTGTTAAAACCTGAACTGAAATGTGTTACAGAAAAAAACGATGACCTGTCCACTATCCACATTTGCTCAAGGAAGTTTTAAATGTGAAAAACGGCTATTAACCTGATGGCATGTGGACAGTTGTTAAAACTAGCATTGAAATAGGTCGTATAAAATAATTATGGAGGCGAGCTGACTAGAAATATGCCTCACCAGCTTTACCACATCAGATTAATAGCTATATTTCACGTTTAAAACTTTTTTCGGTGGCAAATGTGGACAATGGATAGTGGATAGGTCATCGTTTTTTCTGTAACACAGGAAGTCATACTGGGCATTTCAGTATTGGTTTTAACAAACCCTTGTCCACATGGCCTCATCATTTGCCCTCGGAGAAATCCCTGATGCAATCCTAAGGTCCATTCTATTAATTTATTACCTCAAGTGAAATGTGGCAGATGAGTCCTTAGAGGAGGGAGGAACCAAGTGAACGCCAGAGTGGACTTCAGTAGCAGAGCTTGCCCACAGATCATCGCGATCTGACACAATAATGACTGATGCAATCATGGCAGACAATGCTGTTTATAACACTAAACGCTTGACATTTCAAAACTGTAAGCCCAGCATTTGATTTGCTGGGCCTTAAGTTACAAACTACTCAATTTCTTATACTAGATACACCACACATCCTCCTTTTCCAGGGTTTATCCTCTTTTTGGGACCTAAAAATGTGTCCAGCTGAGATTTCTAAACTGTAAAAAGTGTCTGGGTTTTGGCTTTGAAGCTGACATTTGCTTTCTACAGTCTGCTCCATGCCACCCTCTTGACACTACTGTCCTCTTTTTTGAAAAAATATGGTCACCCTACCTGACATGACTGCAGATACAACTCATGACTTTACTCTGCTGGCTTGCTAGCATGCTAACGGATACATGGCTAACAACAACAACAAAAGAAAGGAACTGCATTGTGGCTCTATATCAAGTTTATAGCCAGACAAAACAATTATTCAGAACTTTTATGCACGTTATGTTCAAGCTTCTCCAAGAATGTTCTGCATAGCCAAGCTTGCAGGGCTAGCCAATTAGCTCATAGTGACTAACCTAGCCAAGGGTAAGTGCCCTATCCATCTCTTCTGTCATGAGTGGCCACTTGTGTGAAATAGGTGTGGTGCGCATCAGTGGTCAGTTGAAGTGGGCAAGAATAGGTTAAAAAATAACTGGAGCTTTACCATTTAAAAGACTTAACGTACAGCACATTCAACATGTCTGCTTCATGTGTGATGAAAAAGACCAGTGGAGACTTGAGGGATACTGGATGATATCAGTATAATTAGACTATTGAATTGATTGATTAATTGATTAGTTGGTTGACTGAAGAAATATCGACTGGTTAAAAACAGTGTATTGTGGTACTCACAGCTCTCGATCTCCAGTGAACATGTTTGGGTATCGAGAGGGAAATGGCTCAGGTCCATGTTACACATGGCTGTTACAGTGACCCTGGAAAAACACACACAGACAATATTAAGGGTTTCGTTTTTCTTCTTGTGCTTTTTACCTCTCAGGAGAAAGATTTTCAGTTTTAAACTGAGACATTTCAGGAGCACCAGAGTTCTGCAACCACAGAATTATGCTAAGAGTTTCATACTTTCCTTGCTAGTCAAATTGACAGACCTATCTCAGCTTATGTCCGTGTCCCTCCAGTGTTAATCACATGCTCTACTCTTCTTGACTTGCTTGTATCTTTTACTTTCCTGCTAGATATTCTCTCACATATGAAGCCCACCACCTGCACCCAGGATGTTTTTCACTCATGGTTTCTCTGAGCAGTGTTAGTTACAGTTGGTCCTAGCTTCTTGTTCATCATATATAGACGTTTAGTCAATTTTACTGTTCCATCTTGCTTGAAACACGTAGCAGTCCAGCCCCTAATCAAAAAGCCAAATCTCGACCCGAGTTTCCAAAAATTTCAGACTCATTTTGAAGACTGTTCAGCTCTCTTTTTATTTTGCAGTGACATTCTTGACAAACTTCAGCAAGGTTTCAGGGTGCACCATAGTCCTCTTGAAAATATCCACTGATTTATCACTGACATTACATTAAAACTGGCTGACATCCAGGGTAGTATATTTAAGAGGTTTGCCTTCTATCTAAAATATCAAACATTTTTAGTTAGGACTGTGAAATCATCTTCCTATATGACATCTGTCACCCGTGGGGTACTGCAAGGTTCTATTCTAGGCCCATTTTTGTTCTGTTTTTTTTTCTCTATATGTATTCCGCTTAGGTACCTTATACCTAAATATAACATTCTTTATCATCTTTTTCAACAAAGTTTTATTAGAAAATTCTTGTACACACCAGTGTTGACAAATGTTAGTGTCTCCGGATTTTTTCCAGAGCATGCAACACAGAGACAAGTCCCTGTTGTCCAAAGGTCCTCCCTTCGCCTGTGCAGCATATCAATAAAAGGGAGGAAGACAGAAAATTGACAAAGAGCTAAGAGGAAAACAAATCCCAACTGGGGTCTCCCATCACTTTTACCTGATTAACTTTGTATAGCCTCAAGACATCGGACAAAGGCAAGGCAAATTTTGCCAAAACAGTGTCCTCTCCCCCTTAACAGAAATCATATTCATTCAAGATTTAGGGTATTTGTTAGTTCTGTGAGTCATAACCCAAATGTGGGTGCTCCTTCCTTCTTCCAAAAAGGTTAAAATAAGCTTTTGGTCTGTGAATAATCCATATGAAAGAAATGGTTGTTGAGCTGTTAGTAACCTAGTTGAGCTCAATCTGACATTTAAGGAAAATTTCATGCCAGTAACCACATAGCTTATGGCAGAGTGTGTAAATATGGACTAAATACATTTATCACTGATAGGTGAGACACCTGAGAATATCTGGAGTAGCGGAGTCTATAAATAATTTTGAACTGGATAAGACCTGGAGTGCCTGGAGTTAACAAAGCATCAGTTTATTCTTTTCAGGCTGTTTTCCCAGATTTTATCATCAGGTATCTTAACTTCTAAATCCTTCTCCCAGTTTGCTCTAATTCATTGTCGTAGGAGGGTTGATAGCTTGTAATGCGCTACAGAGACAAGATATGATTTTATCTTTGCCAGCTTGATCTTTGAGGCAACTATCTAAAAGTGAAGGCTTAGTGGTTGCAAATCTGGGTAGGGAGGCTTGAATGTAGCTTCTGACTTGCAGAAACCTAAAAAAATACTCCATATTTGTTCTTTAGTTGTTCAAAGGTGGCAAAGCTCCCATCTAAGTGCAGGCAGCTTATAGTGTATATACCTAAGCCCCTCCACTGTATGTATCTCTGTTCATCATGGATGGCTAGAAAGAATGATTAGCTGCTATAGGAAGCAAAAAGGAAAGAAAATGCTTTTCAGATATGAATAGATATTGAATACTGAAGTATCTCTATCTTGATTTCTCTTCCTTTATGGCATCTATCACTTGTGTGGTACTGCAAGGTTCTATTCTAGGCCCATTTTTGTTCTATTGTTTTTCTCTATATGTATTCCCCTTAGGTACCTTTCAAAAATACAACATTCCTTATCATTTGAGATAAAATTACTGCACCTCTTGTTCTAGGTTCAACCATTTCCCAGATTCACTTAAATTATTAAACCATAATGAGATGATTCTGAAATTACAGGCTCAAGAGTAAAATTGGAAGTTTGGGAGAAACAGCCGTCCTTCTTGCTTAGGTTTGCAAAGGTGTGAACTTATTCTTATCATATTCATGCAGATGGCACAAAGCTGCCCCCTGCACTCACCTCTATTATTTGATTTTTTAAGCCCTATATGGTTTAATACCTCATTGTATTTCAGACACTCTATTTTCAAACACTCTTTCCACTCCTGCAATAATTATACCTTGGAGGGGAATCGTTTACAATCATGCCTAAAGCCTAAATCATCCAGTCTGCACTGATGAGCGATATCTGCCCTCAGAATAAACGCAATCCACAGAAGCAATCCATCTGGCGGTGGGACAGAGCTGGCCAGAGGCTCAGACTGGGAAGGCTGACAGTGGAGTGTACGTAGTCCATATGTAGGCTGGATAACTGTAAGGAAATCCTCACCCACGTTCAGAGTGAGCGAACGGGGCACAGCTGCAGCAGTGGGCTCGGAAGATTAACCCCTCAGCAATCAGCCAGCTTTGCATCCGCCCCAGAACACCCGCCCACGTGGCCTCTCCCCCAACTCCAATGGCACATACCCTAATCCACGCCTAGAAAAGGAGTGGGATTACCGAAGGCTGCCGCAGCTCCACCGTTATGCACTTCACTCTTCAATCACTGCCTGTTCTGCAGAGATTTAACCAATTCAAGCTGTGCAGACGGGACAGATTGTACGGGTGTAAAATTGCATCGATGCATCGTGACGCAACAACGTTAAGATGGTGATTCAACTACATTGATTTGGAATGTTAGAATTGATTAGAATCAGAATCAGAATCTTTATTTGCCAAGTGCCATTTTTCTTAATGCAGGTGTCAACATAAAATAAAATAGATATACCACTAAAAAAGATATACTATATGTGTTCATAAAAAAGACAGCACACAAGAAATCTATGAGTAATTTGTGTCATCAGCACAAAAATGATATGAAATGTTATATTTTTGAAAGACGAAATCTAGCAGGAAAATATATACAGAGAATAAAAACAGAACCTTGCAGTACCTCACAACTAATATTTATATATAAAGTTGCATATAATTAACTCAGAAATATGAAATTTATAAGAGTATGTAGGCTACAGGAAGTACCACAAAATCCAGTATTCTTGACAGCAGAGAACAGCTGGTCATCCAGAGCGATGGATCGTACTCTTTTTAGTTAGATTTTGCACCTTGGTGTGCTAGCAGGGAGTTTCCTTTCTGCCTTTGCTGTCTTACTTCTTGCTGTATTCTGCATACTGAACGGGATGATTTTTTGGTTTCAAGCTTGTAGGTGAAAAGTTGAGTCATTGTTCCCCCTCTTGATACTCAATATGAACAGACCTGTCTAATGTTTTACATTTCAACAACATTTTCACTGTTGATCTGCTGCCACTCATACTATTTGAATGCGTCTGTGCCAGCGCAGCACAGTGAAGGAAACAAGCAGCATTTTTAACCACTATTTCTTATTTCCATTACTAGTAAAATTATTTGTAAAGCCTTAGCTTTTTATGCTTAACTGTAAACCTACTTAATCTTTGTTTTTGTGGTCAAATTTTTTATCTCTTTTTCTCTTTCATCAAAAATTTTCAGGGGATGAAATTTCAGTGCATTTCTAATACATATATTATATGTATACTTAAAATGCATGTGTCCACTGACTACAGGTGAAGGAAGTGGGAAGGCTGCTTACAGTGCATTGTATACACAGTATATACAGTGGATGGAGTGGTTATAAGCATGTCAGGGTCATATTTGTGAATTATCTGTGAATTCTAAAAATAATTCTGAAGTCTAAATCTTGGTGAAATTTAAGATTTCAAAATACACTGAATTGTTTCCTAAAAATTTTAATCTAACCTATTACAGCCAAGGTCAATAATTCCCCACCCCCACCGGACTATCTCTGTGACCTATATGTGCGAAAGGAGCAAATCATCACTGTCCAAATAAAACTATGCATCTCAATTATAGGGGTACATTTTTGTACCTCTTTATTACTTAATTTAATCCAAAGGGTGCATAACATCCCCACTAGGGGGTGGACCTGATCTGCAGCCAATCGACTGCCTGAGTGATTATGAGCTTTAACAAGCGGTGGTTCTGAGAGAGAGAGAGAGGGAGAGAGAGACAGAGACAGAGTGTGTGGATTATGCTCTCTGATTTCAGCACTCTGATAATTACTCACCCACTTTCAAACGGGTTTTAAACAGCACACATTGCCAGACAACACTCGAAATCCACAACAATGAAATTATCAAGCTGAACAAATGCACATTCCCCATTTGTTTCTGTAAACAGATTATCCTGGGCAGCTCTGAACATCGATCAGCAGAGGAGAGTTGCCGAATTCATCAGACATGCCTTGAAAACAAGTCCTAACTGGCAGCTGTATGATTTGCTTGATCAGAAGGAGCTCTTCGGGGACGCTGTCCTTTTCTCCTCATCTATCCTCTTTTTTATGTCTGCCTACTCTTGATCTCGCTGACTGAGTTTGGAGAGAATCATTCTTCTGTCGTCTGCAAAGCCGCGCCACCTCTCCTTATGTAACAAGGCAGCGGATGATTTGGCTATGGCTAACAAACTAGCATCTGTTTCATGCTCGGGCTCAGTGTGGGGTTAGCGTCTGTGTTTCCAACACAGCTCCAGAAGATTAAACGAGAAGGCAGCCCAGCGATGGCAGCGCGCCCTTCAAGCACCAGGGCTGCGTTCAGTTAGGGATGCCTCTTGACACATCTTAAACTGGTTTACAAAGGAGTAGAAAAGAGATTAGACAGATCAGGGGGTCGGTAACCCAAATGTTAAGAAGAGTTATTTTGTCCTTTTAACAAAAATCAAACCACTTTGAGAGCCACAACATTTTATGTCCATTTTACCATCTTGGCTGTACATGTCTCTGTATGTGCTGATGTCCTAGTATAGGCTGAAAAATCTTAAAGAAAACGCAGCTCTGCTGTAAGCTTTAGCTCAGCTATAGCTGCTTTTCTCGCATCTCCGGCAGGAAACGTTTCCATAGAAGTGGTATAGTTTCTTGTAAAATGTCTCTTAATGTTCGACCTTTTACAGGGCTGAAGTCAGTTTGTTATTCAAATCTTCCCGTTCCACTTAGGCTCTAGAATGCAACTGCGGCACCATTTGAGGTGGAACAGTAGAATTCAAACAAGAAGCTGGTGAATGAGAAGCTGACTTCAGCCTCATGACATCTTAGTTTCTCGCTGCAGATTAAACGTCATCAGGAAACCAGCTGAGTGCTTATAAACACAAATAAGTCCGTTCGTCTCCAGATTATCAATGTTCGTCTTAAATCTTTCTCTTTGCCTTTGTGTTAGCCACTAGCTAGACGGGACTGTTGTCTGCATTGCTATGGCAGTCTGCACGCCAACCTTCAGGGTTAAAGGGGGAATTAGCAGTTATACATTAACTCCAGCATTTGAGACCATTTAGTGTTAAAACTGTGCTAGAATGATCAGCAGATTACTAAAAAATCTAATTCTGCTGCGGAGCTGCAACAAGGCAGTAAAAGAGCCACATGTTGCTGACCCCTGAGATAGACTGTAACAGGGGTGGGCAATATGGCAAAAATATATCATGATACTTCCAAGAGATTTTCACGATACAAAATCAGTATCACAATGTTTATTTTTCCTGAATTTTGATATGTTGGAACAGATTTTAGACAGTTAAACAGGTCTCTCTCACACAGGCAGAGTCAGGTTTAAGTTCTGCGACGAGCAGACAGAACAAAAACCTGTGAGGTGTCCGCCTACACTTAACGTCTTTAATCAAATCGAATCGTTCTGATGTCCGAGATTTAGGCCGTTTTGAAACCTGAAAAGTCTGGACCAAGGTCCGAACCATGGGTCACGTTTTTGTTACACTGTATACATTTGATCTGGTTAGTTTTTGTTTCACACTGCAATTTAGCAGCGCACTACAGAACTTATAATGACACACCTACATCCTGTCATCATCACCTACGTGGGCTATGTCTCCCTGTACTTCACATTGATTGGTTTGTAGAGGGCCATGCGTCTGAGGTCAGCATGCTGTCAATTTGGATGGTAGCCTTTTTTTTTCTCAGAATGGAGAATCAATATCTTCTTTCATCCTCTCAAAAAATAAGGTATATATTTTGGTGTTTTTATGCATTTTTTTCAAGTTGACTTCTGAGTTTTTCATTGGACCAAATTACAATGGAATATTTCATATCCTCCTCTCACTGTGTGCTACTGCGGCTCATTTTTACTGCTCTCCCAGTTATTTTTTTTTCTATTAATGGGTTATGATAGCCTGCCTCAACTTCCTGTACTTGGTCCAAAAGTCTGAACCATCCAAAAAAGTGTTTTCGCCATGGAAATGAACCAAACTATGGTTCAGTTTGATCTGTACCAAGAGCACCTCTTTTACACACACATTTTCTGGGTCGCAGGAGCACCTCTCCCAGCGGTCACTGGGCAGAAGGCAGAATACACCCTGGAAAGGTCGCCAGTCCATCACAGGGCAGAAACACAGACATACACACCCAGGGGCAATTGAGCACATCCAACTGGTCTGACTGCACAAGGAAACCTTGCAGACACGGGGACAACATGCAAACTCCACACAGAAAAGACCCTGGTCTCCCAGCCGGGGAACCGAACCCAGGACCTTATTGCTGTGAGGTGACAGTGCTACCCACTGTGCTACCAAACGCACCGCCACCTCTTTGAGTCAAACCAATTTTAGTCCTTTGGTCTGGACTGCGGCACCTTTCACACCTGCTATTTTGGTTTGGATCAAACTGAAAAGTCTGAAGGTCCAGACCAAACAAAGTAGGTGTGAAAGCACCCTTAGTCAGGTTAATGACAACAACGCTCTTTCCTGTTAATGCAACTATACGCTTGCTACTAAGGAAGGACATGCAAGCAATCTGACAAAACATCTGTTGATCAAACACAATTAAATGTACAGAAATGCAGAGTCCCATGTTTCTTCTTATCCACTGCGTAGATACGGAGTTCGCTGGGCTAACAGATAACGGAGATCAGGGCCAAATGTATGTACGTGCGCAGATGCAGGGCAAAATGTGCCTACATGACTGCAGTAAGCACACACTGCAACTGAATTTACTAAGATATTTACTGATATACTGAGACTGTGTCTGCATCATTGCATATTTTGCGCCATGTCTTTTCACATACATACATCTGGTCCAGAGAGCTTAAACAGTGTCATTATGATGGTAAACATTCCTTCAGCTTACGTTCAAGGACCGTGCCTCCATCTAATCACTGTGTCTGCTGTCATTGTTAAAAGGAAGTCTCTCAGCGACTCGTTTTTGAGACTCTAATGCAATTTTCCGGCTAGTTTTAAAAGACGGAGGAAAAAACGATGCAAATCCGGCCTTTTGCTCAAACTTCAGTAAATCGAGTGGAACATGCAATTATCTGCATGTTTCGTGTGGCCCTCCCTAAATGCACATGCATCAGGAAGATAAGCGCATTTGCACACGGCTCATAAACTGTGTTTACGTACATAAGACATGGGTAGAATGCATCCAGTTTGCTAGGCTAATAATGAATTACTACAAACAGGCTAATAAAGGAAAGTTAACTGTTCCGCTAATTTTTTAAGCCTAAATATATTTAGACAATAAAAGCAACCCCAATCAGCGTCACAGTCGTGGACATGGAGTTTACTAGGCTAACAATGTGTTGCTACAAATTGCAGGCTATAAAAGAGAAAGAGAAACCAATAAGAGCAGCAGTGACGTACAGAAGCAGTATCAATAAGATTAGTAGTATCATACCTGACGCTGTAGAGGACTTTGCCGTCGGGGTAGACCCTGAGCATGACATTGTCAGTGGTGGTGTCGTGAATGAAGGAGCGTTTGGAATGGACGAAGAACATGTCAGGGACCCAGATCTTTTTCACCAGACGGCTGTCGAAGGTCATGCTCTGGTTGGTGGTGCTGGGGAAGGAGAGTCGCTCGTCCTTCCAGTAGTGCCTCAGATACAGTGTCATGGTGAAGTCCTACAGCAAAGCAAGAGCTGTTATAGTACATTCCAGGGATCTGCCAGTCCAGTTTGAAAGATCAGTATCGGAGCTGATCAACAGAAATAGTGTCTCGAGTCAGTGACTCAGAATCTAGTTGCAGTCAGGTCGCAACCTGACTCACGGATTCAGCTCAGATTCACCCATTACTGTCTCATGACTTGACTTGGACTACTTTTGCTACAGTCATGTGCAGACACTGCAGTGATGTCCTCCTGCAGCTCACAATGACGTCATGTTCGATACGGCCTTCAATAACAGGCCTTTCATTACAGAAAGACCTTCGTTCTGATGGATGGAATACTTGTAGTAACTGCATGTTTAAAGGAAAGAGGCAAAACAACTTGAAATGGTTTGCTAGTAGGTAGTCTGGATAGCTAAAGTCTCAAGTTCAAGTATGCTAGCTAGAGTAGTGGCTAATCCAGCTGTTCTAAACAAGTGTGCTGTGTAACTTACTAACTTCAGCTGAAATCTCTGGCGTTTAGGCACATTTTCCTTTTGGAGAAAGGTGATTTAGCAGGTCGTTGGGAATTTCTTCTCATTTCTACGACACAGCAAAGCAGAGCCACGCCCTCCTCTAGAATAACGACACCCACCAACCCCGCCTTCACCGCCTCCTCTGCCATTTACAATGGGATTTCACAATAGAATAAATGTGCTATCGTTGGAGGCCAGATTTCCTGGAAGTCATGTTTTCAATCATATTCAAGCTTGTATAATCAAGTAAATACCTAGTTGGTTTCTGTATTTCAGTTTAACTGGTAAAATGATGTGCCCTCTGGACAAACGTTTGCATTCCTTTTGTGACTGAAGACATCAGTTCTTGTCTAAGCTCTTAAAAATAGTGCAATTTATAGGCTACATTGGTGATGTTTCCACTCAAAGCACCTTAATCAGACTAGCAATACAAAACTGATATGCTGGTGAAGTCTAAGCACGTGTTACTACTCTGACGGGTCTATACAGAACAATTAATGCTAATAATGCTTATGTGTGTTTGATAAGTCAGTAAGATACAAGCAAAGCGAAACAGGGCTATGAACGTGAAAGTAACCATTACAATTCGGCAACATCCTGCTGTGTCCTGATTGATGGTTGGCCCTCTGCAGCAGTCTCTGGTGTTCTCTCACTCTGGATCAAACATATACGACCACGCACACCGAACACGTCACGCAGCGTCCATAAATTCAAAACCTTATGATGGGCCCCGGCGCCGACACTCCGCAGCTCCTAGCACTGTTCAGTTTCTCCATGTTCTACTCGGTATGTTGCCATTATTACTTTAATTTAAAACCATATCCAGACCACAGAAAGCCACAGTAGATCATATGTGGCTTGAAAATGATGCAGAGAAAGGCAGTTCAGTTTTTTAGATAAACAAACAAGTCAGCCAATAAGAGCATTCTCATTTAAATATAGAACCAACACCCAAAAATGAGAAAACGATGAGAAAATTCCAGCTGAAAGCTGAATTGAAGTGTTTTTCCCCCTACTCATCACACCTTTCAAAGAGCACAGGGAACTATGTTAAAATATGAAAAAATAGTAAAGCATGTCTCCTTTAATGCACTGTAAGTGTGCACTGTGTGGCTGCATTGTCTACCAAAGAACAACTGTCAGCAGACATTCAATAGTAAATAACGTGTGGGCAAAAAAACTCAATTGGGACATCCCTTGTACATTGATTTTAGATGTTTTTTGGTTGAAACTGAGAAGGATCTGGGTAGGATGCTAAGAAAATGAGCAACATAAGGTCTTTAATATGTGCATCCATATTAGCATTTTGTTTTCCCTCTACTGAAAGCATGAGCCTGGGGCTAGTCCATGGAAACGTCCTTCAGAGGAGATGTTTCCAACTAACATGCTTCTCCTTCACTAAGCCAGGAGGGCCGCACTGAATCATCGCGCTGCTGTAAAGGCTGCGAGCTCTTCGAATGTCCTGGAATTCATCTTAACTGCTAGCTAGTATTAAACTGTTTGTTCAGGCTTTGGACAACAAAAGCATATTTTCAGGAAAAAGTGTCTGATTCTCTCACCATGTCCACTTCTGAGATGGTGTCCAGGCTCTCAACTTGGACATCCACTCCCACAGGAATAGCTGGGCCTGAAAAGAAATGAGAATTATGACGTTTGCAATTTAAAAGGACAAAGCAAAAAAGCACACTTTGGTTTAGTGGTGCTGTTTTGAGACTGGCAAATCAAATATTTGAAAATTGGATCATTTACTGATGTATTTGCAGGGAAATTTCTGTTTAGCTCAATTACAGCCCCATCAGAAGGCATGCTCTGAGGATCTGAACAGTCCAGGCGGATGTTTTCAGAAGCAGGGTGGATGCGGCCAAAAATTAATTATTTCCGCATTTCTATTTGTGGCCTGTGAGGCCTCGCCACATCTTCAGGGCAAGGGGACACAATTAGGTCACAGCGCTTCCACACAGTCATATACTAGCCAAAATAAATCACTGTACTGCATTGAGTGCCCTGTAGCTCCAACAGCATGAGCTTTCCAGGACTCTGTGTTTGGCATGTCACAATGCATTAGGTTTACAGGCCTCATTGGGCTTTTTTTTTTTGCATTCCTTTATGCTCACGATACATCGCTAATAGTTTTTACTTAGTATCCCATGCGTGAGGGAGGAAGCATTATCACTGAAGGTCAAAATTTAATAGGTCTGCCGGCCTAATATCCAATCCACACAATCCATCTTCATAGCTCTTTACAGCTGAAGCGAGACATAGCATGTGGAGGTAAATGACTGAGGATTTAAATGCATACATCATTCCATGTAATCCACAATGCCATAAGAAGTAGCACTCGTTCCATAATCCCGCCGCACATTGCCCCTAACCCAGTAAATCCCTGCAGTGTAAGTACAGAGAAATGGAACGCCGTGAGTACATACAGCACAGTCGGACTTCCGAAAGTCAAAGCTGTGATTTCCTCTGGGCGAAATTAAAATGGGTCCAGGTCAAGAGCACAAATTACGGCATATATTTGTGGCTTAACAGTGAGAAGGTAAGGTCTAACAGGTTCAAAGCTCAGCTCCATCTGTGCTGTGATCTGGACATAGCATGACAGCATCCTCTGCTGCCTTTGGCATTGTCATGAAACAGTTTTGAGCGATTAGGGTTCTCCTTCAAGCGCTTTGAGGCAGGTCGTTTGAGGTTTATAGCCTAAAAAAAAAATACTCAGACTGCACTGGTGTTGAGCTGAACATGTGATAACTGTATGGGAGAGCCTAAAGTACTACATTGGGAATTGTCTGCGACATAATTTGGGAAAATGAATGAAATGGTTCAAAATGAGTGCCGCAGAGCTTATATGTCAGAGCACTGTGAGTTTACAATATTTTCATAATCTAGTTCGAAATTGGAAAACTTGACACAGAGACATCCACATGCTCTGTCTTACGTAAGCCCCCTTTAAGAAGTCTCCGCTAAGAAATCTGGACAAGAAATCCATAAATGGTCTGTGAAAGAGACACATATTTTTCACATTTAGTTTCCTGTTTTCGCTTTGGAACTGACCTATCTATTTACATCTTTTTTTCCCGAGCTTTCCAGCTTTTTGACGTAAGAACACTGAAGATTAGCAAAGTCGGAGACGGGTTAGTGAAGCACTGAGCCGTAGTAGGCAGCCCGTCTGTAATTAATCACTCGGCTCGGCCCCTGCCCCGCAGGCTGAAATCCCTGGGATGTTATGTCATCAAAAGCCCAGCACGAGACGGCCACGTTTTCCCACCAGGCCAGCCAGACTTTTCGGGAATGCAAGTGGTGTCTGTTACAGTGACGTCCAAGACAATTACGCTGAGAATGATTCATCCTTTTGTCAGAAAAAGGAAAAAAAAAACAGTTAATTGTCCAGGGAAGAAGCCTGGACTGTGTGCACGTATGTCCTTTTGTGACATGATATTCTTAACATAATCTGAAAGTTTGTGCAAACTGAATGTTTCTGAATGGTTGTTTCGCTGTGTGAAAATGAACTGAATAGATAACATCAACTAATTAACTTTTTCCAACTAGCCAAGTGTCCAAATATGAATTAGATCAAATACAATAATAATATGACACCAAATTAGCTGGTCAATCATCCATATTCCTAAATCTTAAACCCTGAAGTCAGCTTTCAGTGTTGTCTGTTTGGCAACTGTGAATTTGCCAATTGTTATATACAAACAATTAAGGAAGTGCAGGGGTACTAAAGGGGAATTCCACAGATTTTTCAAATATTCCATATAATTCATACTTTAAGATGTCAGAACTCTCTTAGGTTAAGTCAGAACTCTCTTAAACTCTTTATAAAGTAAGGATTCTAACAATAACAACCGACACATTCTAATTTACATTCTGCTGCACTTATTGGTTATATAATTGTGATTGGTGAGTTAATCCTCACCTAGAAGAGTTTAAATAAATATGTTCCATGACAAGTCTCAGAGAATGTGTTTTCCGTTTTCTGCCAGACACATGAAGGGGTACGGGGTATGCACCCCTAAGTTGCAAACGGAGGTTAAACGTCACGACAGCTGTCCGGCGCCTACCTCATCACTCCGACGCAGGGGCATCCCGGCTTGTTCGAAGCTCCATATACTGAGGAGCTCATTGCATGTTGTTTCGTTCAGATTGCTTCGTCAGAGTTAGAACAGAATATTCGGGGCCTCTTTCAAAAGAGAATCTCCCTGTAGTTCTATGTTGTGGGCGATCCTTAAGATATGCATCACAATTGAGCATTTTTCTGAGGTTTGATACAGAGGTTAGTACAGACAAAAAAAAAACATCAGAGCCACATTTTAAAAATACTATCAAAGACTATGAGTGCAAAGAGTTTTGTTCAATTTTCACATACTGTGCTCTATTAAATCTGGTTCAACAGGTCAAATTATGCTCTCTTTGTAATGGAACATGCAGTTGGTCAGTGTTCTGTAAGTGCTGTCAGTATCTATGACATGCTCAGAAAACTCTGCTACTGTGACGTAATGTTACATACTGACAAAAACAACAAGATAAGTGGATTTCCCGAAGAAAATGCAGAGTGATTGTGCAACTTAAGCTTGCTAAGTTGTTGCTAGGCGGTTGCTGTGGCATTCCAAGCTGTCGGGTGTTGCTAAGAGCTTGTTTTGGTATCCCCAATGGTTGCTATTGTGTTGCTAGACAGTTGCTAAGGAGTTGCTAGGGTGTTAGGGTGTAGGAGTTGTTAGGGTGCTGCTAGGCAGTTGCTAGGTGGTTGCTAGGTGGTTGCTATGGTATTCTACAAAGTTGCTACAAAGTTGCTATGGTATCCTAAATGGTTACTTGGGTGTTGCTAGGTAGTTGCTGTGAGGTGCCAAGCGGTTTCTAGGGTGTTGCTAGGTGCTTGCTTTGGTATCCCTGATGGTTGCTATAGTGTTGCTAGACAGTTGCTTAGGAGTTGCCAGGTGGTTGTTAGGGTGTTGCTAGGCGGTGCTAGGTAGTTGCTATGGTATCTCAGTTGGTTACTAGGGTGTTGCTAGGACGTTGCTTGCCGCTTACTATGGTAAAACAGGTGGTTGCTAGGGTGTTGCTATATTCCAGGTGATTACTAGGGTACTGCTAGTTAGTAGTTATTGTATCCCAAATAGTTCATAGAATGTTGCTATATGGTTGCTAAAGTGTTGCTAGGTATTTACTTTGGTATTCCAGGTGGTTGCTAGGTGGTTGATATAGTATCACAAGTGGTTGCTAGGGTGTTGCTAGGTAGTTCCTGAAGTGTTGCTAGGTATTTACTGTGGTATGCTGGATGGTTGCTAGATGTTTTCTAAGGTATCCCAGGTAGTTGCTAGGGTGCTGCTAAGTGGTTGCTAGGGTGTTGCCAAAGTGGTTGCTATGGTTTTCCCAGGTGGTTACTAGGCATTTACTATGGCATCCCATATAGATACTAGGATGTTGTTAGTGTACTTTTAGTATCATTCTGTATGTGGAGTGCAAAAACATTTGCACACACAATTCTGCCATTCATTTCCTATGGGGGAAAAATGCTTATTTTCAAAAACTGTACATACAATCAAAAAGCTGCATGAAAGCAAACCATTCTCAATCAGACATTCAGCAGTTGGAGCAGTGTCGATATCTCGAAAACTATGGGATGAGTTAGCAGACGAAAATCTGGCAGAAAAATAATAATACGAAGAATATACTGTCGGAAAACAATAGTGTTGCACATCAATGTGCAATCGCTGATACATACTGTCATATAAACAAACTACCCAGCATTATACTATTCTATGCTCTGGTTCATATTCACCCTGTGAAAAGTTGTTCTGAAGATACATCAGGAACTAAAGCTTTACCTCCAAAGCCGGGCCTCATCGTGAAGTCATGATCGTCTATCCTCAGCAACTGCTCGGATTTCGTCACTGGGTTCTTTGTGATATCAGGGCTCCTCTTGAGAATAGGGCTGCCACAGGGATTAACGCACACACAGTTAGAAGATAGAAAATAAACAAACCGCCATAAAAAAACAACACGGCGCATTTAAGACACTTTCTGCTGGTTTAGAACGAGCAGAATGTAAATTTACACCCCAAAAGACTGCAGTAAATTAATTCCTGTGTGTGTTGTGAGAAATAATAAGAGATTTCATTACCTTCCAGGCTTACGGACTCCTCCCTCTGTTCTTGTAGTTTCTCGTCGGGACCTGGAACAATTTCATATTTAGATCACTGTAACAAAGCATTGAGCTGTTACAGGGCGCTTACATGCAGTACATCATTAATTCAATTGCATCATATAAGAGTGCATTATATACTTGCAGTGTATAAGGTAGCAGTGACACACACATATATGCATACCTATTTATAGATCTATACAACAGGACTGGTCTTGGCTCCAGTCCTTTTAGAGCTAATGCAAAAGTTAAGATGCAAACAGTCACTCAGTCACACTGGTGAATGTCCGATTCTTCTTGAAAACTGGGTTTTAAGAACAAATTTCTTCTTAACCCCCTAAAATCCCAGGGTTATTACATACCAAGGCTCATTATTCAGTATTTACAGGCACTTCATTGCAAACTGGCTGAGCTATTCTTACATTATAGAAATGTCTAATAAAACTTTGGGTCTGCCAGTGGCCAATATTCACCGCTTTACCATAGTTTTGAGAAGGTTTTGGCCTAATACATAACTGAAATCCATTCATCACTGCACCTCCGAAAGTGACAAAACTGACTAAATAAAACAACCTTTCGTAATAAATAATAAATAAGAACATAAACAAATAAACCTTTTGCTGATAGTTAACATCTCCGAAGAATATCACACTTTTTTCATACCTAGTTGATTTTCTAAAGTCTGCACCAGAGTTTAGGTTTTTGTGATATCATATATTTTTTATTTGGTCTGGTTAATTTTACATAATAATTATTTTACACAAATTATTCATGTGGGTGTTTGCTTATTGGTCAGAAATTTTGCAGGGATACAAGCGCTCTGTTACTCTCACATTTACTTCCATTAAAATGGAAAAACAGAAGATAAGAGATGAGACCAACCAGGTCGCTGATGCCAAAAATATATTCTGCGATCCATGTGCCAAAACCAAACGCATGTATTTGCTATTATTTTATTGCTCGTCTGCTGTTTTTGGCAGCTTGTGCTGCAAGAGTGCTTGTAAGGAGTCAAATGTTAATACAGACAGATTATGCGGACTCAGCACTGATGTGCACTGAGCGAAGTGTGTTCTGGTGTTGAATTCTCTCTGTTAGGGGGGACTATCGTAAAAATGTGTTCCAACCTGCAGCAAACTGAAGAAGGGTTTGCTTCAAAGCGGATTTTGCTGGACTGCGGTTAATTTTGTTAGAGTGGATCTGAGTGTTTTCACGTCAAAACTAAAAAAACGTTCGATAGGTCCACACCAAAGGCAGGTGTGAAGGCAACCTTAGTTTAGCAAGATAGCTGTCAGAAATTGTTAAAACTGACCTTTAGCAAATTTACACAGTATAGTAACATAAACTGTGGTCAAGTGCATGAGTTTGTGCATCGCAGTAAAAGCATTCTAACTGGATTAGTGAGCTGCAGCTCCACTAGTGAACAGGAACTGCTTCACTATTTGAGAAATGTCTCGCCTACCCAGCTGAAACAGAGATTTTGTTTGGTTCTTCCAACGCGTTTTTTTAGTGTTGTGTCTATAAGTTAGCGCTACATGCAGTTTAAGGAGAGCAGAGATATTCTTTTTGACATAAGCATCCTGAACTAAGTCAGAAAGTGGCAGGTCAAATGCTCACTTGTCACCTTGGTTCCGGAGGCCCTGCAGATACATGCAGGGTGTTGTGAGGTAAAATCATTAATATTCAAAAGCTCACAATGTATGTAGGTTCACAGATTTTGGATAGTAAGTAAAGATGGCTATATTTGTATTGTAGACATCAGGACCCCTTCTGAAGCTTCACAACAATAAACCATTTCACATCAAACCACTCTGAATGTCTTTTACATCTCAAAACAGAATACTGAAAAATCAGTGCCGTCTTCTAGTGTTTTTCTCCAACCTCACCAACTCGATCTCACAATAACCTCTGTGGTACAGCACTATCTAGAAGCTCACCACTGCAGTTCTGATTATTTCTAGTGACTTGACATTCTTGAGAGTGCTTTTACTTGTTTCCTCCAACCGCAGGGGGAAGTAACCTGATGTAACCTAACCTGACAGTCTGTCACACCAAAGGCCTCAAATCCAACTGCAGGTGACCAGACAGGACCACTTAGCAGTGATTTCGCACACCACCACACAATTCGAGTAGAACAGGATGGCATTCTGCCATTTCACTTTATTATTTTTTAACATGTTAATCCCTTTTACTATAAATATCCCCCAATCTGGAATTATGATATGATCCTTTATACAGAGATAGAGAAATTGCGTAAACGTGCTTTAATCCTATCATGTTTTCCCATTCCCAACTTATGGAAATGGATCTGTGGTTCGCAGCAAAATCCCCAGTAGTGAATTAACGGTGTTGAATTAATGCTCAGTGTTCATTTAAGTGCAGCTGGACAAAAAATTAATACTGTAAGAGTTTATTCAGTGCTGGGGATTTTGCTGACGTTTTAGTCTCAGAACACATGCACAACACAAGTGTCTGTACAGTCTTGTGTTTCCATTCAGCGTACTGCAAACTGCATCAGGGTTAATACAGTTATTGAAAATGATTATTAAAGCAGAAACTAGCAATGAAAAACTGTTTAGTTAACTGTAGTAAAATGAAAAAAGACATTTTTAATTTTTTTAATAAACAAGAATACTAAACCACATGTCCACCACAACACAAAATGGAACTAGGGAGAGACAAAAACTTTAGTGTTCATATATTTATGCTTTTTTACTGTATGAAGGACAGTTTAGCAGTGGATCCTTCTGTCAGCACAGATCAGCTAAACATCAACTAAAGCAGCATAATTTGTCTTTAGGATGCTGGTCAGCAGCAATGGAAGTTAATATGCTGGTCACCAGCAAAAACAGCACAATGTCGCTGTCAGGACAAAGTCTCATATCTCCATTTTTATCATTTTTCATTCATGACATAATTTGAAATAGCCAGCTTTATTCTGTGTCAAAATTTCAAGATGAATGGACCAATAGAAATGTTCCAAAATGACCTGGAATAAATAATTTCTCCATTGACTTCCATTGAAAGTTAAGGACGTTTTTCCTTCTCCTGTGAAATTACCTTTTTGGAGATACAAGGTTTTGTTTCAACAGTGACGATATGTTGTTTTGGGTGCTGGTATACTAGTCATCTAGCATAACCATGCTGGGTGACCAGCTAAACCAGCACCAGACCAGCACTAGACCAGCATAAACCAGCTCAGATGAGCATGGAACTCATGCTGGTCTACGTCTCTAGCTATGTCTTCTCACCTAGCTAAGCAGGATTTACTGTTCAGCACTACTATTTAGCGCTGCGCTAAATTAGCACAACAATTTGCAATGTGCTGTTTTAGTTGCTAAAACCTCATCTATACAAAACTACAGCCAAGTTTGTGAGGACTCCTGTAAGGCTGCTGGCAAAGTATGTGTACCTGTTATCAGCGATAGAACACAAGAACGGCGCGATGCTAAAACTAATGCTAAAAGGTAATAATGCTAACTGTCTGACACGCTGCCAGCCTGGCTCAATAAACACAACAGACTTTGTCTTTCAGCTTTCAATGACTTAATTATGGACGAGTCAGCTTTTTCAAATATTCAAATAGTATTGAAAGTTCACAAAATTGAATAGTAAATTAAGTTTTTGATATAGAAATTAATCTCTCTATTGTTTTACAATCTTAGCTTAGAAACACAAGATGGCTGAACTCTTTCCTTCACCATAGGGCTGTGTAGAGCCTGTGACTTAGGTTTTGGTCAGAGTTAGAGACAATAAGGACTTCTGGCCTATTCGGATGGGATTAGCTTTACATGGTGAGGTGGCGTAGTGTTATTTTTAAAGGAGTTTCTCAGTGATTTTAGTCCGATGCGAATGCGCCATGTCAGTCGCTTTTACCATCTGTACGCATCAGTAAAGATTTTGGTACCCTCTATAAAACCAGCAGAATAAATAACCTTAAGACATATTAATCCTGTGTGAATCGACATGCTATCATGTCGAAGGACTTTCTTAAGTATGGAGGCTCAAAAAAGCATTTACTTTTGTTCTCTTTTGTTGCTAAAATCAAGCCGATATGTAACATTACTGTCCTATTTCATGTGTATATCTCTTAAAATGTAAAGATTACAGAAAAAGCCAAAGACATCGTAACAATAGCAGAACACTTTTTGGTGCTATATAGAACGATTTTCAAAAAGATTCTATATACAACACATTCGCCATCTATCTGAAGAACAATTTCATCAGCCAAAGAACCATTTAAGCATACAAATTGACAGGCTGGAAGTGGCACAAATCAGATTTTTTGCATTACTGTGACATAAATATGATCTTTTCAAATCAGGTCCAAATTTTACATTTGTAGTAAATCTCACTAATGGTGAATAGCTTTGTAGTTTATGGACCATTTTACCAAATTAGTTCAAACCGTGGTTCCACAGTAAAAAAGGCTATTTAAAAAAAAACAAAGTATTAAACTAAATATTAATAAGCTACAGTAATACTTACAGGGAGGTCTGTCCCAAACCCTAACCCCTAAATTTCAACTTACAATGACAATAAGATTTAGATATATCATGAGTTTCATTTTTAAATAAAAAAACGTTGCTGTCCAACATTTTCACGTCACTACAGAAAAACAAAAAGTTTCAGTGCATAGGCGGAGCCTTATTTTTTGCCACGCCCCTGCATTTTAGAGCAGGAAGTGAGACAGCATCCCTGTCCCTCATTGCCACATGGTGAGCAGTTAGATCCCATTGTTTTGAAGTAAAAATGTGCCCCAAAGTCAGACAATCAGTGTGTAACATTAAGAATTGTCACTAGCGAAACACAATTTCTGCAATTAAGTCAACTTTTTGTGTTTTAATGGAAAATATTATGATTTTATGCATGCACAGCTATTCAAAGCTGTGCTAGTCATGTTCTATCTAGAGCCAGAGTTATTTGGAGTTATTAGATAAAAAATGACACACTGAAACAGTCACTATTGAAACACTTGGTCCAGTTTTGATAGTATTATGACTGTTTTGTTAGTGAAATGAGCGG